CCAGGTTGACATGTCTAACTTCAGCCAACTAGCGATGATCCTCAACTAAACGCCATTGTCTTATGTGGATAAATTTCTCATACACTGCTTAGAGATCCTGAGGTCAAGCACTCTCTACAAAACCTGGAGGTCCTGGGTTTGATCCATTTTAAGGTTATTGATACATATTGCTGAGGAGTCCCATTTTGGGTAAATATAGCTACCCAATCCTTCCAGGTTTTCAGTAATATACTAAGGTCGGTTTTTAGCCGCAGTAACATTCAAAAACAGCCATGCAATCTCTATCATGAAGAATATTGATAACTTGACAGTGTAAATTTGATTAATAGATATAAAGATTATATACTGAATTAACCAGTCAATATAATGAAAACATTGTGAGATGACGTGTAAATTACCATGGAACTATATTACTGCAACTCACATAAGTACGGAAACTTGAAGTTAAATCAATGTATTAGTAAAATTTACCCATCTATAGGTTGTGACGTAGTTAGATCATGTGCTGGGGAGTTCTCAGCTACAACTTACTCTAGTACACTGTGGTGACCAGCAAGTTATAGTTTGGGAAAATGGTTATTGCTGATCAGTCTAGAGTAGGACAACCGTAAACTAAGTCATTTACTGATGAATTAAGCTATATCGAATGTCACACACATTCTGTTCATACCTTACAACCAAAACGTCTTATTCTCCAGTTAAAAACCCTAATTTAAAGCACCGAAATAGATGTTCACATTCTTTATTCTTTTTTAGATCTACATATTACAATCCCTTGATTTTCATTTTTATTTTGAATCGTTCATTCTTAACCAAATTCACCTCATTTAAATTTACACCATTACTGGTATGACTTTTGAATTCAATATTTTTCAGTTTAGTTATTTTCTTTATTGCACTACTTGTGTGAAATGTGACATTTTCAGCAGTTGAATCCTCCATATTACTTCGTAATTGACTGATTGACAACTAATTTACAAACCCAAGGGTCTCACTAATTTAATGGAAACAATTTCAATGGTTAAGATCATGAGTCAGTTGAAGCTAGACCACCCTGGAAAACCTGGAAACACTGGAAATATCTAGTAACATTGAAATGGCATACTGTTTTCTACCACTGATCTAGCTAAAAAGAATCTTTTGCTTTCACTGTTCAATTTCAAATATAACTATTAGGAATGACCCATTCTTCAATATCATTATAACACCTCTCGTCCCACCCAGTGAAAATCGTCTAAGTAATTCCTATGATTTGTCTGAATGTTGATTAGGAACGAAGAAAAAGCTAACGATCAATATCAAGATGTAACTTTGAGTTTATATCCGACAAATTTATAGAACCATGGAATAAGCACCAAAGCGTTTCTTTTTCTTTACTACATTTTCATAGTAGATTACTAATGAAATGAAAGAACAAACGTGCTTTTTTAATAGTTTGAAGTAGGACCAACCTGTTAATAGCACAATCGCAACACCTTTGAGATGTTGTTGTGAAATATTAATTTTTCAAAGTTACACAACAACTATCGATCAAATCGAATAGACGGATATTGGAGTTCTCAGACTTTTTCAAGTTTTCTTAAATTTGTATAATTAAAAACAGCTACGTGACATATTTTAGTATATTCGATATACTAAAAATGATCACATAAACACAATTCGAGACTCACTTTACCACCTATTAATTCCCAGTCTGTAACTCACACTGTAACGTTTTGTTCTAATTTCTAATGTGTGCAAATCACATGAACTGAACTAACACATCTATGAATAGAGAGCGAGTTATTTCCTTTTACTAGCAAACATCGCATTATCACTCTGTTAAATGTTTATGAAGTTCATGACTGCATAAGTGGTTGTTTTATGGATAAAATCAATTTGGATTTTCTGATGATTATTGCTTATTCAATGCATAATACTCACAAGTAAATGAACTTTTAAAAAAAACTTCACTAGAACCATTGATTCGTCATGATATCATGTATTGACTGAATTTTTGATTCTGGTATATGAGCACCGAGATCATCTCTAATTCTAAAAGTGAGAAATACTGACTGTCTAAACGAATATATACAGGTTTATATCTTATATCTAATAATGGCTACAAAATAACTTCTAAATATTCTCCTATGGAAATAATCATAACAGGGAATATAGTGATAAAGCTTAGTCTATATTTGTTTGAATGTTGAGATCATATCTAACTTAGTTTAATTTCCCGGGGCTCATTTTATCTATATAAGGTAAAGCGTTCTTTGTCTAATTGACCTATATACATGTTTCAAGCAAACAAAAGCGTTTGTATATTTCATATCACATCATATTTACTTTCACTGAACTCCTCTAATTTACTGACTATCATAATAGCCATTATTAGTGTTCTGGCTTAACAATTCTCCATTTAATTATAAAGTAATGGCAGAAAATACTGAAGACATGTATTTGATTGGGTTATTTTTTAGTAGTGAGATGACACTATGAAAATAATGTAAACAGACTGTCTATGGAATATCATGTTTCAAAGAAGAATTTCTGTATACTCATATATATATATATATATAACAATGAAGTCTTAGAGTGTTAAATCAATCAGTTTATCAGTCTTTTATTACCATTCATTTTGTTAGAAAATATATTTTTGTACTGATCCAATGATCAGTAGGCATATGTGAATCCTATAATAACTAGTTTTCCTTCCATAAATTTATATAATAAGTTATGTACCATTATCAGATAATTTGAATAGTTGAGATCATGAGTCAATTGAAGCTAGACCACCATAAAAAACCTGGAAGCACTGAACAACCGTTTTGTCTTATTGTAGGACTCCTCAGCAGTTTTTTTTTGGTGGTGTTTTGTTCTCTGAGCTGGATGGTTTGGTCGTGGAGCTTTCATCGTTCTTCTGAACGACATCATCAGCACAAACTTCAGATAGAAGTGAAGTGTTCGAATTTCTTCATATGTGTTTCACAGCTTGTTCTGTGCACCTCGATGTTGATTGGTTCTTGTTGACCTTAAATTTATCATTGTTTACTTCTTTGTTTTGGTTGTGTCTCCCATTGGTTTGATCTTTGTTCCTATATTTATGCATGATTTTCCTGATTGGTTGATAAATTGGATTGATCTCAATATGTTTGTTGATTGCTGATTGACCTGAGTGCCAAGCTTCTAAAAATTCTCTGGTGTTTTTGGAGTTTCCTCTGTCTAAGATTTCTACATTTTCCCAATCGAATGAATGTCCGTAGTTATCCACGTGTATTGATATAAGTGAAGAGATATCATGGCGTTTGACTGCTAATTGATGTTCATGTAGGCGTAGGTGGAGGGGGCGTCCGCTTTGTCCGATGTAGTGTTTGTCGCAGTTGGTACAATTTATTTTGTAGATGATGTTTGATTTGTTTTCCTTTGTTATTTCATCTTTTGGTTTGCATAGGATTGATTGTAATGATTTTGTTGGTTTGTGTGCCACACCTATCCCGAAGGTTTTCAGCAGTCTCGTTGTGGTTTCTGATATTCCTTGTATGTACGGTAGGGTGATCCTTTTGTTGATTTTTGTGCTTGATTTGGGTTCTGATGCTGTGTGCCGTTGGTGCTTTTTGATGAAGTGCTCATCCACGATCTTGCCTCGCGAGATTCAAAACCAGGATCTTCGGTCTCGCGCGGCAAAATCGTGGACGCTCACTATTGAGGAGTTCCACAATAGAATGCAACAGCCATTCAGTGCTTCTAGGTTTTCCATGGTGGTTTAACTTCAATTGACTCATGATCTCAACTATTGAAATGACTATAATCTTAACAAATAACCTCTTCTGATATTTTATTAACAGTATTCACTAAAAAGTAACATTGCCAGAAATAAATATCAAATATCTTCATACTGATACTACCATTATCATTATTGTTGAAAATTGTTTACTGTACATAATTTAAACTAATGTTTATTTTTCTATACAAAGATAAATAAATATTGACTAAATTATAGAATTCATTGAATCTAATAAAGGAAATCAAATATTTAATTAGTTTATTTTATTTAATTACTTATCAATTAATCAATAAGTCAATTAATTTACTATTTCAATTACTTTCTTATTATATTAACCATGCTATAATAATCATATAGATGTTGATTAATTGTACTGTCTTAAAAATCAGTAATATAAACTGTATATACGCTATTCTATACATATACCTAAACATACCATACTCATATAAGCATTATAAGAAACGCATATACATTTATGAGATCAAATGTCAAATAAGAGTCAGTAGTAAATTATTTTCATTACATTTAATATTATTATTATTACCATTATTACTATTATTATTATTATTATTATTATTATTATTATTATTATTATTATTCTTGATAACCATTCGTTTTTAAAACAATCTTCGAGATATACAACAAACAGTAATGATAGAAATATTGAATCTCTAACATTCCAACCATAACAACAACAACAAAAATTTATCAGAATAATAGAAGTTAAAAATGAAAAAAAAGTAACATAAAGCTTAAAATAGAGAGAAATGAAACATTTGACTTTTTTTAAAAATTGATTTCATAAGAAATTCTTCTATTCTGATTTGAGTGAATGTTACATGGTTGTATAAAAATAAGTTTGTTACGATTGTTATCCGATGCCAATTTATTATTAGCCTATGGTTAAATAAAATTATTGACAAGAGAACACAAAATAAAAACAGAAGGATATATTATGTTTGTGATATTGTAATCATAGTAACCAGGGGCATTTTTTAATATTTTGCATAGTTTCAATCGATCACTTTTTTAAATTAACTAATCAATTTCAATCTGAAGATTAGTTTTGTCATGATCTAACATCGATTGAAAAAAGATAAGAAATCACTTAGTGGTGAAAATTTGTTTCATTTTAGCTTTGATGAAACAAACATAGTTTTAGCATATTATAAGGGTGTTTCTATTCTACATGTATTGGTTACATTGTATGTTTTCATTTTTTTAAACTCTATAGATCACTTGTCCAGTACCCCGTCTACTCATCCAAATGACCGTGAAAAACTGTTTGATTTTGGACTACCGCCCAGTGCAAGAAAAGCTTATGGGAATCTCGGTAAGTGATAAAGCGCTTGTGGTGTGTGCTACTGATATCGAAAGTAGTAGTATGTAACGATAGTCAGGGTTAGAATGTCTGACAACAGAAGGTCGAGAAGAAAAGAATGGGAACAGAAAGCAATTGGTTTTGAAAATGCAGGAATAATGAAGTTTGCGACGACTGACTGATATTTTCAAAAGGAACAGTCAAGTTTTAGATAACTGATTGATATTTTGCGAAATAAGTATTTACTGTATGGTTCTCAGACTTTGGTAAAATGTTCTGTAATTTCGTGTTCTAATATATTCGAATGTCCCCCACCTGCGATCTCGTTCACTATAAGCTGACTAAAATTGCGTAACATAGTGTCATGACTAAGCGTTATCTGATAAATGATCTCAGAGATGGTTGTCAAACAATAACAATAATTTACATCGTTGTTTAATGTTTCTAACACATACACTGAAACACTGACAAAAATATGTGAAGGCATGATTCTTCAACTGTCAAAAACATTGTTATCATGATTGCCTAAATCATCATTTTAGCTTAAACGTTGAGGAGTCTAGGACTAGGATGAGATCATTATCGACTACTCCATAGTTTCCGACGGTTATCTAACTGAAGTTATGAAGCAATGTAGGCTGCATTTAAATGGAGGAATTGTTGCAAAACTATGGAATTTCCTATTTTATTTCATTGTTACAATGTTTAACAAATGAATGTTATTTTGAAAAGCAACGCACAAATTTGCAGAATGAAATTCTTTTAAAAAGTCATTTCACTGAATGATACACCTTTCTTTTATGTTTCATTTAGATGTTTTATTTCATTTATCCTAAAAGAGATTGATTACAAAACAATACAACCTATTGCTAATAACTAAGTAACACAATTTGTCTTATCTTTTAGCGTTGATACAGTTTTTTTTGTGTTCATTTCTGTTTATTTTTTTTTCATTAGCTGAACAATCTACTAGGAAAGCCTATAGTAATATTAATCTCAGTGATACATTAACTGACACAGATGGTAAGTACATACAAGTAACTTCAATAATAAAGTACTTTTAATTCACACTTTTATCATTTGTAATCATATAATTAATTTGTTTTAAACATCTACAGTAATAGTATCAGAATAAATATAAATTCACTTATTACGTTACTTTCCATCAGATGCTTGTAAACTAAAAGAATATTACAAATCATTTGAAAACAATGGTTCTGCATATCATGTACCATGTTTATAGTATATGTAGGGTTCGTCAAAGCAACCTAGAAAACGTTTAGAATTAAAACTTTCTATTATTCACAAATTTCGAGATGCAAAACGTTGTACATAATGAAGTGCTATAGAAGACAGTTTTCTCAGGTGTTTCGACTATCGATTTTTCAACTGTTATAACATTTCAATCAACCTAATCTTTTTAGATTGGCTTAAGCTTAGTAATTATAAATCTTGGTTGTATATATGCACACGGGACCATAATGTGATCACAAGTTGTTAGGTTATAAATGGACCTAGGTTCGGTGTTACATAGCACTCGTCTGCATGTTGTACCTGTAACCTTGGGAGAACTGGTACTCCCTGGTGAATCCGATCTCGTATCACCCAGCTTCACAGTTAGAGACGTTAGCACTGAGCTATTCGGGCAACAAATCACCTCCTGTAGGACTGTAGTTTATTTACCACTGATTCGTCACTGGGTCGTGACCATGTCCTGTGTGTCAGGTGAAAACGGAATTCTATAGATCAGTTTGCACTGTGGCCACTAGTCAAGGTGACTCTTCAACGCATGAACTATGTTAAGATGACGTGATGGTTGAAGGTTGTCGATTTCAAGTTACTGTGATGCTAAATACCAAAAATCTCAAGCACAAACACTGAATTTTTTGAGATATTTTCCTTCATATTCATTCTTTGGAAAAAACGAGAGATAAACATGTTGAAACTCAAGCATCTTGTGTATGATGGAGTAAAAAAATAGTTACAACAGCTAACTTGATAAAGAACTTTAATGACTGAATACAAATGGAAGATAGTGAGCGACAAAAATATTTTTAAAATAAGTTTTAATCCATTACAATGGAAACCTATGTTCAAGAGAAATTTGTTGTAATGATGCATAATTAGTTCCAAGAATTGTTTTCTCTCCACAAAATATTTCGCGCCGAATTGATTTACTATTATTATTATTACATGAGTAGAAAACTCAAGTGTTTACCAAACATCTAACATTAAGAAATTGATCTGTATTAAAGAAACATGTAATTTACTTTATAAGATATTGAAAAAAAGGTTAAATGTAATGTCTGTCATTAAAACACGATAGAGTATGGATTAATATGAATATCATAAACAATAGTTACTTTGATATCACAGTTACAACTGACCAGTTAATAGGTAAATCAATGCGATACTTATGTATTCAGAGCTTACTTTACAATATGACAATATCTTTTTGTTCAATGCTTACTATAGTCTTTCTCTATCGATTACCAATTTCATATTTATTCACAGTAATACTGACTGTTAAAATATGATGTAAACTATGTCTGATGTCAATGTTTATTGTGAATAGAAAACAATAGAAATCTAAACAATCATTAGTTTTAATTTTTGTTGTTGATAGTAAATGTGGGTTAATTTAAAAGTAATCAAAAGAGAGTTTTTAGTAACTAGTGCTCTGATTGATTACTTAATGACCTTGAATTAAATATTGATTTGGCAATGACTGAATTTTAACTCTATGTGCAATTTCTATAAAATTAAAAGGTGAGTTTATAGTCTCTAAGTAAAGGTATGAAACATTTTAAAAGTTTTTTATTTTTTGTCGATAATGTCTCGAAAATTTCATCCAATGTAAATAAAAATGATTATTTTTTAGTATAAAGTGTGAGTAGTAGAGAATTATAGATTTGTATGTTGTTTGTAATCATATCAAACATAACATAACTTCAATGGACTCATGATCTCAACTATTGAAATAACACAAAAATGATGAATATAAATGAATTTTTCAGATACACACATTCAGTGAAGTATGATAATGAATGAATCTGTAAAACATAAGGAATGTTATCCATAGGATTGATGATCATTCATGATATATATTCATTTAAGTTTTTATCTCGAATAATTCCTTTTAAAACAACATATATAAGCGAACAATATTGTTTTCGATTAGATCCTCATCAGGCTTTACTCTAATATACAGTAATATTTATATGTATATATGAAATTATTAAACCAATCAAGGTAGTTTATAAGTCAATGATAACAATGGAAAAGATTACATAATAAGTAAAATGTGAAAAGTACAAATTGATGGTGTGACAACAGGTGCATTAGTTTTTGATAAGCAATAATAATAAAGGTTCAAATCAATGTTACATAATCTGAAATAGGTCAATGATTAGGAGAAAATATAGAAACTGAGATAACAATTATAAAATTATAAGATGACGTAATAAGAAATGTTCAGATAATTGGACCATGAAACGTATAGTTGAGAGAAAAGAAAGTGGTAGGAGGGTGTGAAGAAAAATAATAAACGAAGAGAATAAATAAATAAATAAATACATTCATTTATTACTTAAGGCCAAGGGAGAGATAAGGGAGTTACAAATTTCTTCTGGACACAAAGACTTGGCTTGTTGGCTCGGATTCCTATAGCTTCTGCTATGTGTAAGAGACGAGATCGAACACCATAAGGAAAACTAGTGGGAATCCGATAAATAACTTTGAACGACTTGGTTCTGTCCACTATATGACCGCTATCGATCAAGTGTGATAGAACCGAGCTGCGTATTGTTTTGACATAGCCTTTTCCTAACCACGAAGGGAGGTGTTCACTAACTCGTTGGTTCAGTTGCCTGGTAGTGCGCCCGATATAGCTTTCTCCACAGGAGCAGCTGAATTCGTAGATACACATAGAAGTGGCATAACCAGGTAACTTATCCTTCAATTGCGGAATCACCATTGATCGGGTCGAATAAGATAGGCAGAGGTTGGCAGCATTAAACGTTCTCTTTACTGATTTAGTCAATCTATCTCGTAATACATCGCTAGCCAGATCACCATTGAATTGCAGTTTCAAGAAAAGTGGTTTCTTATTAGCCGTCAGGGTCACTATTTTCCTGTTTTTTACGCGCAAGTGTTTCTTCAGGAAACCCAGTGGATATCCTAATTCAATCAAAATATTATGAATGTGTTGTAATTCTCTATCGATAGTGTCGACTGAGCATATCTTAAGAGCTCTATTTGCAAGACATTTGACTAAGTTTCTCTTATAATGAAGAGGCACAAAGCTTAAAAAATGTGTGTATTGGCTTGGCGAAGAACTTTTCCTATACACACCCCTGCTGATAGAACCATCTTCTTTTCTACTTAACAAAACGTCCAGAAAATTTAGTTTGTTATCTATTTCCTCCTCACATGTAAATTTAATAGCAGGATGTTTGTTATTAAATAGTTCCAGTAGTTGTTCTTTTCTAAGGTTTTGATCGGCAATGATGAAGGTGTCATCAACGTAACGACAGTAGAAATCCAGTTTATTGATAACCTCTTTGAGAGGTCCGTTTTCTAGTTTCGCCAGAAAAAATCCGCAAGGATGGGACCTAGAGGCGAACCCATCGCTATACCATCAATTTGTCTATAATATGTGTTAAAGACAAAATGGACATTCATTGTGCATTTTAAAAGTAATTCTTTAAGACTAACCCCAGGAATTCCAATATTGATTTGTTTTTCCTGCAGTTGTTGGCACACAAAATCGATAGTCTCTGTTAATGGCACATTGGTGAACAGGGAAGCAACATCTAAAGATATCATTCGTTTCCCATTTAAATTTATATGTTCCACTTTAGATATGAAATCGAAGACGTCTTTCACGCTTCTATTGACGACTAATTTGTGTAAGGGGTTTAGGATACGAACTAGCCACTTTGCAGTTTTATGATAAGGCGAATTATACATATCTAAAACTGGGCGAAGAGGAAGACCTGTCTTGTGAACTTTAGGTAAACCATATAGTCGCGGTGTGTTCGATCCAGTAGGCTTGAGTGAGTCATGTATGTCAGGAGTAAGAATACCTTTATTTCTTAATTCCTTCAGTGAGATAGTCAGCAATTTTTCTACCTTCATATTTAAGTCCTTAACGTCGTTGAGTTTCTGAAATTTTGTCGGATCATTCAAAATCACGTTCATTTTATTAATGTAATCAGCTTTGTTCATAAGAACTAGCCCCCCTCCTTTGTCCGGCTTGCTTATGATTAGAGTATTGTCGTTTCTAAGTACATGTAAAGCATCTCGGTGCTGTTTGGTAAGTGGAGTTTTCACCGTACATTTACTATTTTTGTATTGTTGGCAGATGTCTACCAATGTGGTCTTAAACCTGGTTAATTCCTCAGGAGAAGTAAGCACCAAATCTGTTGTTTGTGTAGATAGATTTTCAAACTGTACATCTGTATCTAGTTGGTTTATTTTATTACAGATGTACAGTTTGAAAATCTATCTACACAAACAACAGATTTGGTGAATATTAAAAATCTAAAGGTGATAACAAGTATCTCCATAAAACACTAAAATGCTCAGTTGTACCAGTAATGTTATACATTTATAAATATGAAACATGAAATCATAGCCTGTTTACTAAACTGAATATTTCAACATTCAAAGTATAGCTTTTTATGTTCATTTTTTCATCGGTTTTAATACTGGCAATGATTAAACACTGAATTAATATTCATCTTCACAAAATAGAAATTATTTACATCGAAAACACCGTTTCACAAATTATACAATCATCTGATTTCAGTTACTTATAAGTAGTGTAACTAAAATATCAAATTTAATCAAAAATTCCATCAAAATGGTATTCAATGTTTGGAAACTTGAATAGTTTTTCAAACACAGTAGATTCAAGTTTACAGCCACGATTAGTTATGAGGTTTTTGAATTAATAGAATCCCCTCTTGCTTACCAACCACCATTGACCTCATCGCGTATTTATTTGCTTCAATAAACTTATCAACCACTGGAGTAGATCTTATCACCTTATGCACGAATATGACCATTCCATTAAAAAGGAAAGAATTCACTAAAAATATGAGTTTTCCTTTATGAGTAGTATTTGTGCCATGAATCATGCCAAACGATTGATAATAAAGCTTGTGAATTTATCAATCTTTCTTAATACAGAGCACTGAAAATGGATATAATTAAGAGTAATGATCAGAAAGTTCTATTATCATATGAATTACGTACCACTGTATTTATCGTTTTTTCTCTTTTTCTCTGCATACAGAGGATTATTCACAAAAAGACCGCCGATATTCATACTATGATCATTCTAGTACCAAACAGAGTAAGTTCTATCTACGTTGTTGACTATGTTAAAATGAGTCTTTAAACGAAGAATCGATTTTCAGTCAAGCCTCAGTTTTGGTTGCACAGCTCATTGATCACTAAATTAAGACCAATATCATGTTTTCCTAGTCTTTATTTACGCCAACTGAATCCCATAGACTGATTCACAGTGTGATCATTGGACAAAGCGACTCTCCATATAGGGTGCTACGCTGAAATATTAGGTAGTTGGCAGGAAATCCTGAGCATAAGTTTCGTGCTAGGCGTACCTGTAATTCTGACCGAAATGGCTCTCCTTTAGAGATTCAGATTCCTGTCAGTCGACTTCACCATCATAAACGTTATGACTGAGTTATTCAGGTCTCAAATGATATCCTATGTTACTGAGATATTTACAAACAGATTGATCACTAAGTAATAAAGATCTGGTTGGCTTCAATGCGCGTATATATATATATTTAACTGATGTTAATACGAGTACTTAGTGAATTAACTTAGTCCTCTCATATTATTCTAGAAAATTATAAAGTTGTTAGATTAGTTATACCATACTGTGTTATGCAGTGTTTTCCGTTTTTATGAAAAGTTGTTTATTCACACTTTGTTCGTTACTGCTGACCATCCTGACAAACTATAACTATTCAAATGATTTTCAAGAAATCTACCATTTCAATAGCTGAGATCATGAGTCGATTGAAGCTAGACTACCATAAAAAACCTGGAACCACTGAACAGCCGTTTCGTCCTATTGTGAAACTCCTCAGCAATGCGCATCCACGGTCCCTCCTCGCGAGAACCGAAACCAGGATCTTCTGTCTCGTGCGCGGACAAATCTCGCGAAGCAGAATCCTGGATGCGCATTGCTAAGAAGTCCCACAATAGAATGAAACGGCCATCGAGTGCTTCAAGGTTTTTCATGGTGGTTTGACTTAAATTGACTCATGATCTCAACTGTTGAAATTACTATAAAATCCACCATTGTCAATAATTTATTTTTTCCTTGTCGATTGTATTCAATCCTATGAGTCAATAAATAGACATACGTATTCAAAACAACGTACAACATTCTTATTCGTTTTAAAAAGTATTTAATTTATCATGAATGAAATATAACTTATCAGTAACATATTTACTTATCTCTTGAGTTAATATGTCAATACTTTACATGTTTAGATGCGAAAATAGTGAAAGCAGGTTCATTCAATTGCACTGATTCTTTTAGCTATGGTAAGTAATTTATAAATTTCACGTTACTTTGAACTAATCTATTAATTGTTTATTTATCGTAAATTTAGAAGAATACCTTTGTATCTTTATACAATATCACAAATTTGTTTAGTTTGGAATATGGACTATCTATTGTTATCCCATAATATAAAATCAGTATAAATTTTAGATTATCCACACATTAATTATCTCTTGAGAATAACCCTGTATTCTACAAAACCATTACCTTGTACTTGTTGAAAATTTTATCTTGTTAAAACAAGGTTTTTCTGACATGTTTTCAAATGAGCAGCTGATATTCTTAACTAGGCAGAAAAAGATTACCTAAAACCTATTGCATCGTCAAGCAAGTGTCATCATTTAAACAGTAATTATCATTAATTGAAGTGCTATATATATATAGTTAGATGAGATGGTTATTTTGAACAATAAGTATGAAACGCTTATTTATTTGTAATGTAATTCTAAAACATTCTTTATTATTGATATGCTTATCACTTTAAAACAAGCCGATAACACTATACTCATTGGAAGCAAAATTGTTTTAAAAAAGGATAAAATGAGGCATAAAATGGTAGTTAATCTTATTCAAGTTTGTCTTTCAGTCATAACAGACTCATGGTTTACAGTCACTTGAAATGTGAAAAATGCTATTCAAACGCAGTAGGTTTACATGTGCCTTAAGAGACAACTTTACAGAGAGAACAAATATAAGGGCCTCTTCTGAGTTTTCTGAACATGATCCTGGCAATCTACTACTGAGGACGACTAGTCTTCACAAGTGCACCTTTTGGATAGTGGACGTGAAGTGAATGTTAGCAATGTATTCAAAATAATTAACAAACAAAGAACACCAATCTTACTCCGTTTTGCAGTGGCGATCACTCAAAACGTTTGTGACCTGACCTACGTATACAAAAGAAAAGTGTGATTAGCCTTCACCTCCCATGGTGACTGGTGTTTATCTAACAAACGTTATTAACTTTAAATTTCTATTCAATCCTATTCCCATACATATCCTGATACATTTATTTATTTTATTCTTTATCATGTTGAGCGATTACCCAATCACTTATTTATTCCATTGACTTTTCATAGCCTCTTTTATCTTCATTATGATTACTAGTAACTACAACACTTATTCAACTCTGCATTATGACTTACCAGCATATAAATTCACATTGTTTTTCGCTAAGTTTTTCTATACACTTTGTATCCCTACTCTTCTCGCTAAACCAGAAAATAGTCCACTAGCACACTAGATTGACAAGTTTTCATCGTGATGTCGACATGTGGACGATACGTTCGTCCTTTGTAGCGACCATACTGACCGGATAGAAACACTTAAGCGATTTAATGAAGTTCATCGCCCCATAAAAAAGAGGTGGAATAACCCTTCTAGACGTTCTACTTACAAGTAGAATAGATGAGGTACTAAGAAGAAACTTAAAAAAGAAAACTACTTAAACTGGCCAATATAAAAAGTCCTTTAATTTTGTTACTCTACAATATATAATGAACCTGATTACGACACTTCATTATAGAATAAAGACCATATGCTCTGTAGATGTGATTGGAAAAAACAAAGGCACTGCATACTACCATGAGAAAATGGATATTCTGAGTTGTTTATAAATAAACATTTAGCCAAGAAAATAGAGCATAAAGAAGGCCTAACTGTGCGGAAAATGCTACTGTTTATGCGCCTGAAATTTAGAGGCGATACAACCAGCGAAATGCTAATACTCAAGTTCTAATAGTTAATCCTACAATTTTATTTATGCGTATAAGCTCACTCAAGTTAACGTTTCACTTATTAATGATTTATCAGTTTAGGGGTTGTGGAGATTGTTAAGTTTTTGATTGAAATCATGAGCCATTTGGAGCTAGACGACCATGGAAAACCTGAAAGCACTGGACGGCCGTCTCGTCCTAGTATGGGACTCCTCAGCAGTGCGCACCCACGACCCCGCGTCCCGCGAGACCCGAACCCAGGACCTATCAGTCTCACGCCAAGCGCTTAACCAACCAGACCATTGAGCCGGCATCCAACGGCGTTAATGTCTAACCCCAACCATTTTCCATTGTACTGAGGCAGACACCTGTTTGTACCCAACACGGATTAGCTCCACTGGTCACGACTTCTCACCAGAACTCTGGGAATTTGCTCACGAAGCTAGTCACTAGTGAGCACATGATAATTATCATTTTAGGGGTTGTGGAGATTGTTAAGTGCTTACAGGTTTTCCATGGTGGTCTAGCTTCAATCGACTCATGATTTCAATAAAAAAAATTAATTATTTAGATAATTAAAATAACTCATAGTGTCATTGAATAAGGAAAAGTGAATTCAGCAAAGTAAATTTTCTTCTCGACCAAATCATTTACTTAATCTGTACGTTCAAGCTGTACATTAACGATTTTATTTTATATTACAAACAATCGTTGATTTACATATTATAATTTTAAATGATGTACTTTGCCATAAACCTGATCACTCTTTGAACTATTAATTCGGATATATATAATTGTAGAACCTGATAAGAATTTATTGAAAAGAATATTCTTCATTCATATATCTGTCTTTTAATAGTTATACTTACTTGCTTACGTACTTACTTACGCCTGTTACTCCTAATGGAGCAAAGGTCACTGATCAGCATTCTCGAAGCCACTTTCTTCTCGGCCTTCCTTTACAGCTCTATCCAATCTTCGTCAATTCTTTTCTCATGTCTGCCTACATTTCTTGATGTAATGTGTTCTTTGGTCTTCCTCTTCTCCTCCTTTGGCCTTGAGGATTTCATGTGAAGGTTCGCCTTGTGACGCAGTTCGGTGCTTTCCTTAATGTGTGTCCTGTCCACTTCCAGTGCTTCTTCCTGATTTCTTCCTCAACTGGGTCTGCTTTGTTCTCTCCCATAGTAGTTTGTTGCTGATAGTGTCTAAACATAGAATTCGAAGTATTTTGCGTAGACAGCTATTACTAAACACGTGTATCTTCTGGATGATGGGTTTCGTAGTTCTGCAGACTTCCACCTCATACAGTAGAACTGTCTTGACATTTGTATTGAAAATCCTGACCTTGGTATTGGTTTACAGTTGCTTTGAGTTGCAGATGTTCTTCAGTTGCTCTTGCTTTACCGATCCGCACCTTCACGTCTGCATCAGATCCATTCTGTTCATCAATGATGCTGCTCAAATATGTAAAGGTTTTTACATCTTCCAAATCTTCTCCGTCAATTGTGATTGCATTGGTGCATGCTGTGTTGTATCAGAGAATCTTGCTTTTCCCTTTGTGTATATTGAGACCTACTGCTACTGAGGCTGCTGCTACACTGGTCGTCTTCTCCTGCATTTGTTGTTGCGTTTGCGATAATAGGGCCAGATCATCTGCGAAGTCTAGATCGTCCAACTGCATTAATAGTTATACATTTAATTGTAATTCTAGGTTGTATACAACTGATAAGAAACTGTAAACTAAACTAATAGATTGAAAACTTTGTTATTCTTGCTCAGTCTAAATTTATCAAGGGATCTAATTGTATAAAATTATTCAATCTATTGTTATAAGTATACAAAATATTGTCAAATGAACACAGTTTCTATCATAATCTTAGTCATTATCATATATTCAACTTTGTTATCTTCTTACATCAAAACAATTTATTCATTGTGCCATTTCTTTGTGCTTATATCCTAATTTTTTTGTTTTCTATTCGTTTTATGATGATACACAACTTATTTTTCAAAATTTACCGTATGTTATCTTAATTCTGTAACTGTTCAATCATCTATCTTTTATGTTACATTGGCTACTTACTATTTATCAATGATTACAATATTATTCAATTATTTTTGAATTTTCTTGGTTAGTTTACATTTTCTTACTTTTATAGAACAACCTTTAGTAACGTTTTTATTTCTTCATTAAATATTTCATTATTAATTGGCTAAAGTTAAAGAAATTAATGAATATTTCCTCACTAATAGTTGAATTCATCAATCGATTTAAGCTAGTCCATCAGTGGAGTTCAATCATGTCTGTTATGAAGCAGTTACTCACTGAAGACGATGGTGGACAATAAGTGGAGTTAAACATTAACACCGTTGGATGCCGACTTAGTGATCTAAAAGTTAAGCGTTCGCGCGAGAGATTGAAGGTCCTGGATTCGAGTCTCGTGTGCGGAATCGTGGATGCGCACTTCTGAGTAGTCCCATATTAGAACGAAACAGTTATCCACTGCTTTCAAGGTTTCAATGGTGGTCTAGCTTTAATTGACTCATGAATTCAACGGCGAGACTATAATTTATGGACGACCTTTGAACTAATCTTTAGTGACCTTTAGAAATAATAACCAGTCAGAAAACACTTAGTATAGGGTAAAAATATACTATACAAAACCAAAGAATTAAAGTTGATACACTTTTTCTAAATGACTCAACAACTTGTCAAGGTTAATAAAGAGGTTCAGATACTCCGAAATCGTAATACATATGCTAGAGGAAATCGTATATGTTGCTTCATAATAGTGGGCCTCTGGAGTCATGATAAAATCGCAAAACCTCTTCCAGCCTCGACCATATAGCTTCAAAATTGTTTATTTGAACTCCGGTTGTTGGATCCACAAAATAACGCTTGTGGATAACCATACGATGCACATAACAAAGTCTATGTAAGCATCTGTACTCTCTCCAATCATTCGTATATATTGTAATAGCCGGCTGCAGCCAATGTAACTGGTGCTTTTATGATCCAATTCGCAACAATTGTCATATTTTACTTTAGTCTGAATTTAGATCAAGAGAAAAAAATCCTATTTCAGCAAACTTCTTCCTCCAACATATATTACATCGAAAGACAATATCATCACTGCAATCTGCACAAGGTTCACAAGTCATTTGATTACCACAATCACAAACAAAGGAATTTCTCAGTTTTCCCATCTATTGTAGCTGCTCAACTATCACACTTACTCTAAAATCCTCTATGAACCAATCATACGTAAGTATCAGGTATCAGGCACCGTAATCTTGAAATCCTTCAAACGCTTTCATCAATTCAACTATTAAATTACTTAAATTTCCACAAACCATCATTCTGATATCTTAGTAAAGTTTATATAGAGTTAAATAATTAGAAATTTACATAGCTAGAAGAAGTTTAGATTAACCTTACCAAACAACAAAATATTTACTATTTTTTTATAAAAAAGCTGATGAAAACTCACAAATGTAGATAAAATTGGTTTCTATGCACTAGGCACTACTGAAATTTTCTTTTATATAAAAACATACACACAAAAATATATTTACGTATATTAATTATAAAGATACATTAAACTGACATATGACATTCCTCTGTGATTTATTAAGGTGGAATTCTGCTTTATGTTGTTCTTTTTTTAGAAAAAAATGTTAACAAAAATCAATCAATTTTTTTCTCTCTAGATTTTTTTCTTTATTTATTTGGCTTTCGTTGATTGACAGTGTAGTTTTTGCTTATCATAGAAAAAAAGAAAAAAAAGAAGATTCCCCAAAATAACTAAACAGTCTTGGAATGTATAAAATATTTCTAATCAAAGCATTTATCAGTATAAGACTTGTGGAGATTATTAAGTTTTTGATCGAGATCATGAATCGATCGATGTTAGGTTACCATTGAAAACTTGGAAACACTGGATGGCCTTTTCATCCTATTGTGGGACTTCTCAGCAGTGTTTATCCCAAAATCGGCCGTCTAGTACTTCCAGGTTTTTAATGGTGATCTAACATCAATCGGTTTATGATCTTAATCAATAAATCATTTATGTCTATATTAATGAATATTTAAAAGACGATAATATAAAATTATAGTTATATTAATTTACAAAAGGTATTACCAATTCGAGTAGGATAAATGTAGTAAGAAACAAAGACTGAAATCAATCATCAATAAAACGTATTATGCAGCAAAGTTCATCATCAAAGAAAGAGCAAGGTGCATGCTCAATTCAAAACCTAAAAGGCATGAAAGCGATTGTGCCACATCCCACTGTGTTTAACAATTTAAATGTGTATGTGGTCACATAAACATAGGGAGGAGCAATCGTGATCTAAATATTAAGGTGTGTGAACATGTAGCAAAATGGCTGCAGAAACAAATACAATCAGGTGACCCAATAAGAGCAGAGGATCCATCATCCTTTATTGCTAAACATATAATCGAAACAGGTCATAAGATTGATCTAGACTCGGCTTTTGTGGTGTTGTATAAAAGTCTAAAAGGGTGTATACTAAGGTTTATTGAAGCCTCAGCCATACAAAAATTCAAACTCCATTTGTGTGTTTCAAAACAGTTTGTTCATACCTTAAACCTATCCTGATAATATTGACTTATTATCCAGAGTGATTAGGTGTCCAATTGTGTTCACATCATTATTATTACTCTTATGATTATCCTCATCTCCTCTTACCCCGTTTCCAGTCTAGTTGACCTTTTATTTTCTTATATATAAATGCTCTTAACAAGTATATATTGTGTGATCAGATTGTTCGAAATGTATTGCACTAATATGTATAATCTTCGTCTTCTTATTACTTTATCGAAATTTATGAAAGGGACTAATTGTAGTAAGAATAATTTCTATTTCATATACACCTATACATTGACTAAATGAAATGAATATTTTCCTTGTATTTGTACTTTATATAATTTAAGTTTACTATCTATTCTATTGGATAGTTTACTTAATAAACATAAAAGGATTGTGAAAAACACTTAGTTACTGTTTTTCTTTTTTTTAACGTGATGTATAACAAAATTACAAATTGTACTCAAATGAATTGACAACTAATAATATTAGATTGAAAGTGGTAAGATTAATAAGGATAGGGAAACAAGAAGTTAAATTTAATATTACTATGGGAATTTGAAATAATGAAGTGGATATGATCTGGATGAGAATAATTGACTTGAACATAACTTTCACGAAGATAGATATTCAACAGCTGATTGAATTGCAATTCGGTTTATCTGTTTTACTGAATGTTTGCGCGTAGAGATTGGTGACTATTTATATGTGTTAATAAAACTGTGAATTACACTGATTATACAAAGAAAATAATGTTGCTCAATTCTAAATAGAATTTCTTAGTTCTACCTCCGTACATACATAAACATTGTACAATCAGTAGTTACAAGTTTAGTCTCGTAGATAAAACAACTCTATATTCAAAATCAAAATGTTGCCATATATTCTTCTTCTATCTTTTTCATACAATTGTGTTTTTCATAATAAAAAACATAATCGTTAACATCTGTTTGAAACTTTAAAGCTTAATGCTCAGGATACCTTTTGAATGATAAATTAAACTATTGAAGTAATTACATCAGATTGTCGTTGATTTATACTGGATATATATCGATTATCAACCTATGACGACATATTACTTCATGTTTTTAGTCACTATGTAAAATATGTTTGTATTTACATTTGGTTTTCTATCTGATATACTATACAATACTTTTGTCAATAAGATATTTTTTTCTTTTTTCTGTAGAAAATGGTTCAAGTGACTGGAATTCAAGTAATTATCGTCACTTTCCACGATTCAAACCTTCTGTAAGTTCATAAAAGCGTCCTACATTTTAGTCTATAAGTTCACTTAAACTTCAATGTTCAATCTTTCTCTTTTTTGACAAACTCTTAAAGATGTTAATGTTTCAATATGAAAATCACTGAAGTTTAAATGAATAATTCTATAGAAATGAAGTCCCAAATATATAGAGTACTTTAAACGTTTAACTTGATTTTTATTGTAGTAAGACAAAGTTGATCAATGAAACTGATATTTTCAAAGTTTAATTACCACTTTTATTATCAAATTTAAAATTAGTCCCATTATTATTTAGAAATCTTGAACAATGTTCAATCATAACTTATGATCATTGAACCAAAATACAATAACTATCATTTTCAACTCAACAATTACATATTTGGTATCAGAAGGGAATTTGTGGAGATTGTAGTAATTTCAACAGTTGAGATCACGAGTCAGTTGAAGCTAAACCACCATGAAAAACCTGAAAGCACTGAACGGCTGTTTCGTCCTATTGTTGGACTCCTCAGCAGTGCGCATCCACTACTCCACCCAATAATTCACTAGATGATATCATTCTTTGACGAAAATTTATCATTTTGATTAATGTAATCAAGATGAACATAATAAACAGTACAATGATTCGTACAAAGATAATGATAATTATGCATGAATATTCTAACCAATATCATAATAACCTTGAGTTAATCACTAGTAAAATGATGCATATCATAGTATATCTTAGCAATAATCATATTGAGTATTTACACAGTAGAAACAAAAAAATACGGAATACAGAAACAGATTTCTTTTTGTTCTAATAGTTATTGAAATATTTTAGTAATGAAAAATCTATAAGATAATTCATTGATTTTTATTGATTTGAAACAAATGACTCCATTAATTATGAATGTTTAATTGATCAAAATGTTTAATCATAAACCAATGAAAGATTATATTGTTAATAACAAAATGAAGTTTTTGTTTATTGATAGATACACTTTTACTTGCCTGTGAACGTGTATAGAATAAATAATACAATTGATCATAAACAATATGCATAACTAATGAAGACTGATTATGGAAATGCATATATATATATATATATATATATATATATATATCACATACTTTTCTTAGAGTATTAATGTGTATATCTGAAACAATTAGCTTTGTTCCTGAGAATTGAAGTTATGTTATTTATGGTGACAATTAGAATTGTTATTAGTTGAACCGCGATTAGCCATTCGTGAGACTAGATCATTTGTATTTAAATGGGAACAATGAGATTTGAAGAATATCAACGGATCACTGTTATTCCTTCTGAAATATATTTTTCTATACTAATCGTTCTCTATTAAAGTCATATTTACATATTCGTTTTTGATAAAAAAAAAGTAGAAAATATCACAGCAATGCAATGTCAATACAAAGATAACAATATCACATGCATTCAATGAAAGATTAAATAGGAACTCCATGTAGTTAGAAGACTTTTTACATGATAATGGTCAGCTTGGTATAAAGCCAGCTTTAGTGTATGTCAGTATGCTTTCAGAAAACTAAGAGATTTTTAGCAGACTCTTTATGAATAACAGATGAGAAGAGAACTATAGAAACGAATTCAAGCAATATCATTAACGAGGTTAACCTAAATGTTTAATACCAGAAAATCGGTTCATTGGTCTTCAAGAAAAGAGAACAATATAATTAAATGCAACGAAAGCAAATAAAGCACAAAACGAAACACTGTTTCACTATTGCACTAAAATACGAGGAGAGCAATTTAAATGATCTTCAGATTCCCTTCTGTTATGTTCCAACAATAACAATATTCAAATTATATGAAATTTAAAATGATTATAACCTGATGTAAGAAGGATATCGCAGATACGAAGGAAGAGTCAAATTAGATATTTGATGAATCATTTCCCTGTTAACCCAAAAGAAACATGTAGTTGAGTATTAAAAAAATATATTGAGTAAAGGTTTGCATATCTATCAAAATAATATAGATGGATTAATTTGTAGTAGACCATATATATAATCATACAGTAGACTTTTATTAATATTGAACTTAACTAGGATGGATGTCTGTGAAGAATATTTTGGCCTATTCATATCATAATTCAACTCTTTAAATTGAATAACAATTTTATCGATTTCGAACTTCTATCGCTCATTTGTTTGGAGTGCTCCATAGAAGCTCATGCATATATATATGCAGAGTTTATTATAATAGTCGATGGAATCATATCATGATTAACATCGCTTCATTTCTTGTTTATTTTAAATCAAAATGTCTCAGGAACTTGGAAGAAAACGTAACTAAAATAACTACAATATTCTCCATTAAAAATTGATGATTTAGTTTTTATTACACGTTTTGTGCTAAAAACAAGAGTTCATAGCTAATAATTTACCTCTAATTTAATTAAAATGTATTTGTTATTAGAATAGAAGTGTGTGGATATTGTAATAATTTATAATAATTGAATTCATTCAGCATGCGGGATCATAGATGTGTACTGCTTAGGAACCTCATACTAAGAAGAAAAGGTCATCCACTGCTTCCAGATTTTCAATGATGGTCTAGCTTAAATCGACTCATAAATTCAACTATTAAAATTTATTTATTATAAATCGACAACGATATTTAAAGACAAAACTTCCCTCTTCTTCTTCTTCTTCTCATTTGGCTGTGATTCAATCCAAAATTGTATCATAATTAATTCAATAATAATTCACATGATTCTTTTATACACTATAGTATTTCAATATCTTGTGATTAAAAACCAATGACATACTTTTATAATCCTAATAATCTGTAAAGTAATGATGACACACAGTATAGTAGATAATTATTCCATTTTCATTTATCGATATAAACATGAAACATGTTCTAAGTGAACAAAAATCACACTTATCCCTATGAACAGAATAAAAAGTTGTAAAATTATTTATATCTAATAGAAATATTCGACTGTAAGTTTTTCCTTTAATATTATTGTATTACACTTAATTATTAATGCATGATTATTATTATTATTATTACGAGTAATAGATATCTAAATGGTTTTATATATAAGTAACGATGGATAGTGGCTAGCAATGGAATCCAGGACGCGCTAGATGTACCTGCATCTCAGAGTTCAAATTCACTCTGGGACTCGAATCTAGTACCGTTCGTTTCTAAACACTCCATTGCACAAGTAAGTGGCTATCAGAACTCAGTAGCTAAGTGGATAACGTGATGGCGTTTGAAGCGAACGGTACTAGGGTTCAAGTCCCAAAGTGGACATAAACTCTGAAATACAGGCACATCCAGCTGACGAGTCCCAAATTGGGTGAAACACGTATCCTTGATTCCACTGCTAGCCACTATCCATCTTTAGTTATAATGCTTGTGAATTAAGGCAATATTGAGGCAATACGCACAGGATGCATATATGCCAATATGAAACTGATAAATTGAAGTCCTAAACATCAGTGTGAAGATTCAAGTAAATAATATCAATTGAGCCTACTATATATTGTTGACTATTTATTATATAATATAACATGGTTTTGAATTTTCAATATTAACTTGGAATTTACTTATATACATTAAATTATTTTATTGACCTTTAATAGGATGAGAAAATTGAAAATGATACACAATTTGGTAAACAGTCTGAATCACCATCTATAAATAGAAATATTAGTCCTGTGGCAATTGCTTCATCTACACCAAAAATAAATCATAAAACACCGACAGTTATGAATATAACAAATTCATCTGTCGTTACAGGGAATTCTTTTGAAGTTTCTGCCGATGTAAGTTATATATTACGCATATATATGTTATTTACTCTTGTAATTGCATTTTAAATAAACAAAATGTATAAACTAGTTGTATTACATATAGATAAGTTAATAACTATACAAACACATAAAATTGAATTCTGAACTTTTGAGTCATTTAATAATAGAAACCTTAGATCACTGTTCAATGACTTTTGTTTTTAATATCATTATATTTATTTGTTATACTGAAACATAAACAGGTTACCTCTTAGAAGTATTTGACTACAGATGTCTTAGAAATATTGCTTGTATTTGCTGGGATCACCGAGTAAGTAATAGTGAGGTTAGACTCAGGGTATTAGGGAACGATGGTAAATCAGTTAATGGGGTTGTGAGTCAACATCGACTGTGATGGTTGGGTCACGTGTTACGTATGTCTGAACACCGATTACCACGACGTGCAATGCTAACCGGTGTTGGAGATGGTTGGAAGAAAGTTAAGGGAGGCCTAGTCATAACATGGAACCAGTCCTTGAAGTCAATAACTTCTAGTCTGAACCATGTTGGTAGATGCAGTCTACTTGGTTGGGGTCGGCGTGACAATCGTACCGATTGATTGGAGACTGTGGGTGACATGGCTGAGAATCGATCACAGTCGCATCGGTGTATACACTCTCCGTCTCTCTTAAACCGTGAGATTAAATTTGCTTCATATCTTTCTTCCTACCAACTAATTCCTTCTTCCTGTATTATATCCTTATATGCGATATTTGTCTTATATATTACTATCATTGAAGTGACTACATTTATGAATTTAGTGTTCATCTTGTATATATATATGCATGCATATAAAGGAAGCAGTATTTTATTATTAATTCAGAATTTTAAACTAAGTCTATCTTAAGTAAATTCTCAAATTTTTAATTGACTTGAATATCTAAATAAGAAAAATTTTTTGCTATAAATATCATATAATTTACATTAATTAATCATCAAGTAGTGCACAATGTTAAAGTATCTACTCCATTGTATTGATTGAAATCTATTGATCAGTTACAGTATTGTTAGTAGACTATTTGACCTAGAACTACAATGTCCGTTTCGCCAATATATTACTGAAGCCTTGGTCTCCAAGTTCATAGTAGTTACCACTTGTTAGCGGCCTCCAGGAACCTGATACTCACTGTAAGAGCTGATATCTACTGAGGAGTGCGCAAGGTCACAATGGTTTCTACTCAGTGACTCATAAGTGTAGATACGCCTTAGCTAGTATGAAACCTAGTCTCGGAGTGTTTTGCCTATCATCTATCATTACCTTAGCCCATTAATAAACTTCGAAAATGCTGAATCAACAGACTTTAAATCTGAGTTAGTTTAGTATCATAAGTTTCTATCAACCTTGTGTGTTCAGTGATCACGATATAATATTACCAACCTATTTCACATAGATATATTTTGCACATGAAAATCCTCACATGAATAATTATGCTTTCTGGTATATTTGACACAATAAATATAACCAAATAATGAACAAACTTTGTTGGTATTTATACATCGCAATAAGATCACCTTGATATAGCTCTTTCGTTTCACACTTTGAGGGTAGTTGAACCGCGGTTAGCAGTGAAATCCAAGATGAAACTTTCCCCCCATTTGGAACTCTACAACCGGATGTACTTACACCGTTGATGTTTACACAGAGAATCGAACCGGTTAAACTTCACTTCAAACGCCGACGTAATATCAGGGTAATCTGCTCGTGAATTTACAAATACAAACAAAGACTAATCACAGTTCATTTTTGGATATCAGTAACGGGACAATTCAAACCCATACTTATAACATTGTGGACGTCATGCCTTTTGAACGAGTGGGTGGCAATCTGGACTCAATTACTTATTAGACAACGAGTTGATGATTTGGAGAGAAAGGCGCTGGACTCAAGTTTCGGCCTGAACACCAACATCGGAATACAGATAAGCTAGACAAAGAGTCCTAAATGGGGAAAACAGTCTTCAGCTTCACTGCTAACCACAATCCATGTATTATAAAAATGTGACTTAAGTTGTTATAATACAAACAGCGAAATTCACTTGAACAATAATATTTGACTTTATCATGTCTGATTCTAAATTAGTTAGATTCATTTGAAATTCGTTTTTATTCTTTGCTTTAATCTACACTACAACTTACTGGTGATTACAAATTAAGTAATCAATCCGTAAAGGAAAAGTAGACTGTATTCGAATTCAAAAACTTAATTTAATCCGGCCATGTAATCTTAAAGTTTAACGTCATTTAAAGTTTTCGCTTAACATTCACTGATAATGAATAGAAATTAGTAAGTTCAATCACATTTTTTGAAATAAACAGTTTTAAATCATTCCAAATGGATTCAAATCGTTGAACAGAATATCAGGCTTACTTTGTGTATGGAACTTAAGCAAAATAAAAACTAACATAAAATGTCCAGCTGAGTGAGTGTTGTTTAATTCAGTGACCATATTACATAGCTAGTTTGTAATGGTAGATCTAATCTGAAAACTAGACAATAAATATTACTGGATGCTAGTAATCAATCGGTTGGTGTAGCACACATTGCGGATATACTGTTTGACACTATCTTTAAAGGAAACCGATTTGTAGTGATAGACATTCCATTAGTAAAATAGCAGCTAGTAAATCTGAGTATATTTTTAGCAAATTTTGCATATCCCTGGCTACTCATGCGACACTCAATATTTATTCATGTTTATTATCAGTTTTTACTTACGAGAAAAAGTCAACTTCTTCATGTTTTCGATGATAATATTGTCAGTATCCATTGGTCCAATTAATAGTTTTCTGTCAAAGAATGTCTTTGTACACCAATGACAAATGTGAGATACATTTAAGATATTCAGCTACAACCTAGCATAACAATATAATTAAGGAATTTGTGCCTATCGCATTAAACAAGGAGAAACATTGTAGTCTAAGTGGAGCTTTTTTTAACAGAAACTTAAATTCATTATTTCCATTGTTAGTCACAACCAAACAACATCATAATAAGTATTTCTTCCTACTAAAGAATCCCAATTTGAGAAAAACTGAAAAAATATCTTAGTAACTATGGTGTTAGCCAAATGATTTACAATGTTATCCTACATTTTTGGTAATTATTCTTCGATTTCATATCATAAATTCAACGAAACCATGGCGTTTCTTAAAATTGTAGCCAAAATATCCAGACTTTTATGCTTTCTAGTTTTACACCAGTTTTTCTTATCGTAGGTTTTTTCTACATTTATGATTACTTAAATTAATTATTTGTATAAAAAGAATCATATCACACACGTTTACGTCTCTTTAAATTTATAACTGGTAAATATATTACTGTCCGGTTGAAGTCAATACATGGAATCAACCTTCATGGATTCCACTGCCAATTAACATAGTCTACAAAATAGAACTATCGTTAGTTTTTCTGATACTAAAATAATTATTAATTATTTTTACTTTGATTTCAAAGAAAAGTGTTATACTAAACTTATTGACCAACTGATTAATAAAACTTAACAGTTAAATTCATGAGTCGATTAAAGCTAGACCACTATGGAAAACCTGGAAGCACTGGACGGCCGTTTCGTCCTATTGTGAGACTCCTCGGCACTGTATGTCCACGATCCCGTCTAGCGAGTTTCGAACCCAGAACCCATCAGTCTCGCACGTGAGCGCTTAACCACTAGACCACTCAGCCGGCATCCAGCGGTGTTAATGTCTAGCGTCAACCGATCAACGATAATGCTCGACCGTCCACCACCGTCTTCAGTGAGTTACTGCTTCACAACAGACACGGTTGAAAATGTCTATAAAGCGTAAAGCTAGAGAGAGTGATATTTATAGTAATTTATTGTAGAAAAGAACTACAGCATCTATGTATAAATAGCACAATAATGGGTTGGTGTTTGACGAAATCTCTGCACGATTTAGAAAGCTCGTTTGGCTTTTGCCAACTTACGTTACCTGTGGCGAAGACGAGATATCCGCTTATCAACTAAGGAAAGAGTATACTGCGCGGCAGTTCGTTTTATTTCAATTTACGGCTGCGAAACGTAGCAAATAAGAGTCGAAGATATTCGTAAGTTGCTACTATTTGATCACAGATGTCCGATTACCACGACGCGTAATGCTGACTAATGCTGGAGACGGTTGGAAGAAAGTTAGTGGAGGCCTAGTCATAACATGGAACCAGTCCTTGAAGTCAATAACTTCTAGTCTGAACCATGTTGGTAGATGCAGTCTACTTGGTTGGGGTCGGCGTGACAATCGTACCGATTGATTGGAGACTGTGGGTGACATGGCTGAGAATCGATCACAGTCGCATCGGTGTATACACTCTCCGTCTCTCTTAAACCGTGAGATTAAATTTGCTTCATATCTTTCTTCCTACCAACTAATTCCTTCTTCCTGTATTATATCCTTATATGCGATATTTGTCTTATATATTACTATCATTGAAGTGACTACATTTATGAATTTGGTGTTCATCTTGTTGTGCTAGTGAGGTGTGGCAACTTGTATTGATGCATATATGTGCCTGGTCCTAGATTGTTGCTGACTGACCTAATCAATTGGTTCTATCTAAATAGTTGATAACAGTAAATAAATAATTTCATATATTGACATTATTAAATACATTTCGTCAAATAACTTACTATAATATCAACCTATTTAAATTTGGGTTGTTCTAGGTTCTTATTTTATTTAGTGTAACTAACAATGAAATTGAAAACTAATATATTCTCTTTTGTAAACTACTGGTCTATTCAAAAACATGATAGTAGCTTTAAACATATTAGTTTTCTATGTCATTTTTAAGAAAGGTCGATATTATTTGCTTTCATAACTTGTTGATATGGTTTAGAACATATTGGAAAAATATAAACTTATGGACAATTCCTACATTTATTTAATTCATCCTACTCATCGCATAAATAACATCATATTGAATACTGTGCCAAATAGAGATTATATTACGAAGCTATAACTAATGGTTTCCAACTATGATATAGAAATTACACTTATATATATTACAAAAAGTGTAATTGGAGGTGTTTGTTGCCATTTTTTTCATTTTTACTTGTAAAAGTATCATTTAAAAAAGTTTCAACCCAATAGCTAAATTGTTTAGCAGTAACGTTAGCAATATGCCAAGTATAATTAATTCTAATTCTAATTATCCAAATATGTATTATTTAAAGAACAATGAAAAGTCTAACATCTACAATTATTAGTATAGGGTTTGTGGAGATTATTAATTTCTTTGATTGAGATCATGAACCGATTGATGTTGGACTACCATCTTTGGAAACCTGGAAGCACTGAACGGCCGTTTCGTCCTATTGTGGGACTCCTCAGCAGTGCGCGTAGACACTATCACCATTGGATGCTGGCTCAGTGATCCAGTTGGTTAAGCGTTCGCGCACGAGACCGAAGGCCCTGAGTTCAAATCCCGCGAGCGGAATCGTGGATGCGCACTGCTGAGAAGTCCCACAATGGGACGAAACGACCGTTCAGTGCTTCCAAGTTTCCAAAGGTGGTGATCTTACATCAATCGGTTCATGATCTCAATCAAAAAATCTACAATTACATAGTTTAACTGCAAACACTATTTGACTACAGTCTTACAAGTCGATTTAACAAATATTATCCCTTCATACACATAGTTTCCTATATTATTTTGAAGAGAGTAAGAAAAAAGTATTTAAACAGAATAACATAAATTCATTCAAATTCTAATCAGATGCTAATTACAAATAATAATAATTCAACATTAAAACTATGGATGATACTATAAGTTATGTTTTAAGAAATAAATATGTACCGCAATAACGGATCAAAGATCCAGATTAAAGTCAGTAATATTGGAAAAAAAAATGTTGCGAATGAATATCATATACAAAAGAAGATTTAAGAACAACAAAAATAGTGACCAAAGATATTTGAATTCAAGATTGATTGAAATAACTAAACACACAGATTAATTGTAATTAAGAAGTACATGAATTAGAATCGATCAGTTTAAAAAATGGAACTATGAATAAAACCAACTTAGAACAACATATTTAGGTGAATAATATTGTTTTTAATTAGATCCTTATTAAGCTTTACTCTAATATACAAGAATATCAGTATAAAAATATGGGAATATTGAATAAATCATGACAGTTGATACGTCAGTGATAACAGTGGAATAGATTACATAAATAAAGAAATTTGAGTAAAAAGTACAAATTAACAATGTTATAATAAGTGTACTGGTTGCGTCAAGGATGATAAAGGTTTGAATCAAGATTTCATAATAAAAAGTATGTCATAGACTTAAAAAAAAATAGACTCTGAAATAACATTCATTAAGAATTATAAAATTGTATAATAAGTGGTATTCAGATAATTGAACAAAGGGGCATATACTTAAAAAGAGACGAAAAAATGATACTGTAAGTGATAGAAAGGGTCAAATAATGATACAGTTAAATAAGTTACCAAAGTTTTGAAATGTATTATAAAAATATATGCAAAATTAATATTCTCATTTAGATTTATCTAATCTATATGGTGATTTTATCTAGGGAATGAATAATAGTAGTATTACTCAGAATAATCCATTTTCACCAAGGAATGCAACTCCTACTGCAGAAACTAGTGCAATTGATGATTCACCCAGTATGATGGGAAGTAGTGTAATATCTCCTAGTAAGTTTAGAACTTTTCAGACATCAGCAAACGAAGATAAGGTTAATAATCAATATAAAGTAAGTCTAGATTATTGTTCAAATCATTTTGTGTAATATTTTTTTTACAGAGCTGAATTAAAATTAATTTCAATGTTATTCTCATTTATCCATCTAATATATTCATGCATAAATGCAGATTTCAAATACCAATTGAGGTTGCGTAACAATTAGGAGGTTAGAAAAGAATAGGAGGATGGAAATAATTTACAGATCAGAATTATGGAAGATAATTGGCCGTTTGACAGTTGTGAAGAACACTGAAAAACGTAAAGCTCATAATAATAAACTTGAGAAGGGATGATATTAATAACTGTTTACAGTTAACCAAACAGCTTTAAGTACTATTATACAGCTTAAGTAAATCACTTCGTTTCAAAAGAAGTTTTTTTCCCTGAATTCTATTTATTTCTACTCAATGACACAATGGATTTTTATTATCCGAAGAATTAAAATGTGTCTCTTGGTTCTTCTGTCAAGCTTGTTATAGCAAATGTCAGAGTCGATTTTCTGCAAAGCTGTGTAGACATACATGATTATCCGAGACCAGTTTTCAAAACATTATGTCGAACCCAGATCCATCCAAATAATCGTTATTTGAAATGTCTCACCTTGAATTATATTGATGAAATCAAGTCAGGAATATCAGAAATAGAACGAAATATTTCATTACGAACACATATTTCATATGATTTGTCGGAAGACGAACGCGTTAGATTTAAGGATTACACTGATAAAGTTGCTATAAATCCTACAGAAGATTTGGAAAGTTCGAAACCGACTGAGATCCGTGCTCTTTTGAGACAACACTAGAAACGTATGTATTTAATTACTGTTTTATACTATCATCGACTATTCCACTACAAACATTAGCAATTGGTCCTAAATTTTGCAATACATCAAATAACATTGATAAAGTCGGTGCTAAAATTGATTTTGAATGCCTCATTCTTCAGACAAGTGACCTTACACACGTATATAGTTGAGATTATGAATATTTCAAAACAACTCTAGTTAACTGTTGTAATTAATATGTAAACACGATACCTGCAACTAGACGACCGCTCACAAAAGAAAATAAATCTCGGTTATTTGATCTTCCGAGAAATCAGAATTTAATGCTGTGTCTCAAAGGTAAGGATGCGGGAATCGTACTTTTGGATCAACGCGACTATGATGTCAAATTATACCCTACATTATCGGATACTGTCAAATTCTCCAAATAAGCCAAAAGCTGCAACTGACAAAATGGAGTGGATGTTAACCAAAATCCTAAGGAAGATGAAGGATGTGTCTATTATCAATTGCAACTTCTATAAACAACTAAGAGCATCGTATTTCATCATAATGAAATTATATGGAGTCCCAAATGTTCATATGAAGTATGTTCCTCTAAGTCCTATACTTGATATGAACAACTCTCCGTATCACCTGATTGCTAAATGGTTACAACCCGTTAAAAATCACATCAATAGATACAACTCCCTTGGTTCCTTTGACTTTTTCGGCTCGATTGGAAATATCAATATAAATGGTGGGAAAATGATCTCATTGGATGTCACTTCTCACTTTACAAATGTTCCTCTCACAGAAACTATGTGCTTTTATGTGAGTTTATTGAAAATAATAACCTTGATATTTGTATTCCAAAACATCATCTAAAAGCGCTACTTCCACAATGTACTCTCAACGTGCAATTCACATTTCATGATGATTTCTATAGATCAACTGATGGGGTTACAATGGTACGGTACTTCGATCTATAATTAAGAGATCTCATTGATTTACGGGATATATATATGATACTTTCATTATTTGTGAAGAATATATGGAGCTCAATGGCATTTTGCATATATTTAATAGCTGTCATCACTCAATTCAACCCACATTACAAGAGGCGAAGGAGGAATTTAATTTCCCTAATGTCCTGTTGGAAGGAAGGTCAGATGGTTCCTTACAGAGTTTTACATACAAAAAGCTACCTGAAATGCTCAGTATACGAGTTTTCATAGTTGGGTCCCGTTGAGTAGAAAGAGGAATTCTTTTCACTTTTTATCCTCGAAGACCAAATATGTTCTATTGACACAATAGATGACAAAGTACTTCAACTTCGACAAATAAACGACAGAAATACTTATCCACTTAGATTCGTCGGAAGAAACTTAACACAAATACAACCTTCTTGATAAAACATCAAGAGTTGGACAGAAAACTGTTTAGGAATAGGGTTTTGAATACGTCTGGCAAAATCTTGAGTTAACTGATTTCAAAATCACTGAATTAAATGTTCTACTCCACTAAACTCCGAATTGTTTTCTCAAGCCGGCCTACCATTCATAGATGTGTTGAGGATAGACTTCCTCCTTGGGTCTCATCGATGTGTATCTATAAATTTACTTGATCACGTGGGACAGATTTCATTGGTCGTACAAGCGATCACTTTCCAAACACATCTCAGAAGATTACCCGGAGTGTCTGTTAAAAGGAGAATGCATAACAGTCATCAGTTCAATATAGAAGTACCTAATCGACTCTGGTTACGTCGTTCTAAAGGAATCTTCCTTCAAAATAATCTACATAATCAAGTGAACTGAATAGAGGGGGGGCGTATCAAAACTTATGTAATGCTGAGGCGCTGGCCATCCACCTATTTAAGTTTGAACTGTGCGTGCTAAAACATTGCGTTCAACCCATCATCCTTCCTTGGCCCTAATTCTCCCTTGTATTATGTTTTGGTTTGTATTGCTTGCATTATTTTTTTGAAATTTTAAACCGTAACCAGTTATTGTTACCCTTTTTCGTGATTGTTATTCAATTGTTACTATGACCTTTACGTTTTCCATTGTTCTTCACAACTGTCAAGTGGACAATTATCTTTCATAATTCTGATCTGTAAATTATTTTCATTCTCCTATTCTTCTCTAACCTCCTGATTGTTACGAAACCCAATTGGATATTTGAAATGTCGAAACGCTTTACAATACAATCTCTATCTTTCTATAGTCATATTTGATTATTGATATGTATATATATATATTTCTTAGCATGGTTTTTTTATGTGGTGGTGTTGCTCACCCCATGACCGATTCGGGCTTTGGAATGGCAATGACCCTGGAGGGACTTCAGATGGATTCATATATTTTTTCATTTATTTATATCCGTCACAATAATGACGTTTCTGAAAAGAAATCTCATTTTCTGAATTTCATGGTTATAAATCGTAGTTGTTACTCAGCATATGCAGTCCATCATCATCAATCTTTTAATAAATAAATCTAGAATAAGTTCCATGAATAAACTGAATCATAGATCATAGGTCTTCAAAAAACATAATTAACTAGCAACGGAGTCCGATTAAATATGCTACACATACACATCTAAAAAATAGACAGCTTTACGGATAGTGTTTACGAGTAGATTATAAGTTCAAGGTATTTTGTGAAATGAAAAATAACCATAAGACTTAAATGGATAGAAGAATAGTAAAATTATGTGCATAAGATATAGACTATTTTTAAGTTAGTGGAGAAGATTTGTGGCTCAGTTGGGTGATTTTGATGGAGTTTTGTTCTCTAAACCATCTAGCTCAGAGAACAAGACTCCATCAAAACCATTTTTAAGTGTTGAATTAATTTTCTAATAATTAATGTTGAATGCTGTCAACTCAAAGATATGAAATCTACCAAAAATTTAACTCTCAATATCGTACATGACTACAGCAGCACTAAGTAGTTACTCGTACTGTGACTTATCAACTTTAAGACGATTATATTCTTTGTGTTATATCTAGAGCTTAGATTCTTAATATACCGCGTATGACTCGAGCACTCAAACGCTAGAACCCTCCCAAGTCACAAAAGAGAAGACAGAACAAGATTGGAGAAAGCGTTTGTTGGGCAAGAATCAAAATGTACGGAAAAATCATGGGTATTTATAGATATTAGCGTTTGTTAAATCAACATTATAATCCATCCAATCTGCAAAGAGGCATGTTATGCTACTGACCAATAGGAGCACGCCACGTTGAAAGCTCCATTGCGTTCTGATAATGAAACTCTTTGACTCTTCTAGGGCTTCTGAAGGCTCCGACATAGTTCTCGGAAACCGTCCCAACACTTTTTTTTTTACCCCAAAACAATAAATATAGATTCTAACTTGATTCACCATTTTGTATCAAATTGCTTATTTGCATATTATAACAACAAACTTAATAACTAAAAATTAAATGGATAGATTAGTTAATACAAGAAATTTAATGAAACCTTAGAGAATTATCTATATGAATCTACATTACCTTTTAGAGACATAATATAAATAGATGACTAAAATCATATATTACGATTAAAGCAAATGAAGCACAAGAAATTTAGACGTACAAAACCATAGTAAAGTTGTAAATTCATAAGTGATGAGCTGAAACCAGACTGAATGGAATATGTTTTTTAAAGTCCTTCAGCATTAAGGCATGTGAAACAAAACATACGTTTTGTACCAGAAAGATCATTTAATATCATTATTATTAATACTAATATTTTAGTAACATATAGTTTATTATGAATTAGTTGGTCATGTGAGAAAACGAGAAATAATCCTATTTGATATGGTATACTGTTTTGAAAACAGTATTTTATATTGTCATATAAGATTCAGGTAATTTGATTTTAAATGATTGCAAGCTATTTGTGAGATTCCGTGAATCGGCAGTTTACCCATTTCAATAAGACTAATCTAGAATGCTTTTTTAAACTGTTAATTTCCTAATAAGATGAACCTGTGTTCCTTTATGACGTTACAGTGGTACCACCTAACTAGCATCAGGCTATAGGAAGTTGGTCAGTAATAAAACAAGAAAAGTTGCGCTAAATAGGAAGCTACAAAAGCTCCTGACCCCCTAAATAAGCTTTTGTATTCATATCAAAGGAATTTAAAAATGAACCAATGTCCATCTTCCTCGCTGACTTCCCTAGCTAGTAAATGAGGGCACTTTGTTTTATCCGGTAAACACTTTGCATTCATCTACAGGACTTTTTTAATGAAAAACAGAAACAAAGTAACTCTCAAATGAACATTTTGATTTTTGTTGACAATAATCATCAAAACAAAGTCTGATTTAAGGAGTTACTTTTAAGCAAGCTAATCCATTTCACTAAGAATCTGTGGATCACCAACATAGATGATTGGGGGCCTACCTGAGTTGGATGAGAATGGCGCGACCAACCAGCTAACGTCCAAGTTATACTACTTGGTTAGTACCTAACATGGATGAACCTTTCGTCGTATCCATATGCTATGGATACCTTGATGACCGCACAACACAAATCACATTATTGCAGAAATAAATTAGTAAGAGTAAGTACAAGGAACAGTCTGAGATCACAACCGCATGAGCCATTCCATGGCATGCAATTGATTGGTGAGCGATGGTTGTCCATGACCTTGACGAGGATCGGTAAACTGCCAGATAGTTTCGAAAGGGCCTCTAGACCTCTAGACCACTAATCTGGCATTCGACGGTGACAACGTTTATCGAGAGTTTATTTGCAGCTAAATCTGAAAAATTTCAACAACGCGTGTTTTTACTTTTTTTTAAAACTAGGACCCTGATAGTGCAATAAATTCATTTAAGTTTTAATTTACTACCCTGTTCAATACTTAAAATCACCTTTTTTGTATGTTTCAGATGAAACAAGATAAATATTTAAAGTCTTCTAATATTGTTATTGTTCATGCAGAAGATGTGACTAATAATCACAAAGAGATTTATCCACGATTTACTGAAAGTTTAATGCATGTAAGTAAATTGCTATTTTGTTTGTTTAAACTGTTACTTGCCTGAATTAATTAAAAATACTTATATCCAACTATATATCATATCAGTATGCGGTTATGAAGATTGTGCTAATTTAATGAAATCATGAATCTATTCAAGTTAAACAACAAATAAAAACATGGAAGCACATATATTAGGGTTCTATTCACTAAAATATAACTAACAAATATCATTATATTGGATGTAAATCTTCAATTGTAAATTTTTCTTATTAGTACTTTTCAGAGACTTCAGTTGGTTTGTTAAAGGTTCAATATATTTCTTTGTAGTATTTAGGTAATTCAGAAATTTTAAATAAATCCTGTTTTGTTTCAGCTTAAAAATTGACTGACTAAATTTGTAAGTAGTCAAAAGACTTAAATGAAGTCGAAAAAATGAGATTCTTCAAATTCCATGTAATCAAATTGATGATACCGTTTTTATCATGTAAAATGAGCATCCTGGGTTTCAAATTTGGATAGATCTGTAAATATATGCTGTTGCACAGTCCGAATTCAAAATGTAGCAGTTATCCACTAGGTTTCCATCATGCTTTATATTTGTATGGATATTTCAAATACGATTCCTTGTTTTTATTAAAACAACACATTGAAAATAATAAAAACTCAGTGGTCAGTCATCAGCTAAATCCAGCTAGAATATTAGAACAACTCATTTAAATGAACAATATTACGTATTTTTAATTATGATTTATTTTAATCAAGCTATTCATCCTTATTGACAAGTGTATTAAGAAGTGTATGACCTCTATCGATCATGAATGAGTACTGCTGAGGAGTCCCGTAGTAGAACAAAACGGTCGTCCGCTGCTTCCAGGTATTTAGTAGTAGTCAAACATTGATCGGTTCGTGTTATCAATAAAAACCCAACAATTTCCACAATCCTATACTGTTAAGTATTATTTTCTATTAGATAGTCATCAGACTTTAATGCAAATGAATATGGATATATGAGAATATTAAACCCATCAAGGCAGTTTATGAGTTAATGATCATAATGAGTTAGATTGTATAACTACATATAGTAGGTAAAAAGTACAAATTGTTAGTAAGAAAACATGTGTACTACTAATAGTAATAAAAACAAGAAAATAACACAACACGTGAGGTAGGACAAACTTTGATCAACAGATCTTAAAATAATAATCACTAAAAGTTACTTTAATTACGTAACAAATTATATAAATAATCAGATAATGAAGATTCTAAGAGGAAGAAGGTGAAGAAGTACAAACAAATACAGAATTTTTTCATCTGTGAGCACTGTAAATATTTTGTTCCTACAGCATGAATACCTTGAGTCGTATTCCGATTTCCTAGAACTATAATCATCAAGTAATTCCAGACCATTATTTAGAGGATAACGGAAACTGCTGTTCACGTTTAGTTATCCTGATAACATGGTATCTTTCGACTTTATCACCCTTAAAGAGCGTAAACATTTTCAATTTACTCTTTCTATCCTTTTTTACTCGTATTTCAATTACTATTATCATTAAAACTGTCGGTATAATGACTTATTACACCATCATAAAGTATACAACGTTCTTACATTTCTCTATTTACACTAAAAACTACACTTTCAATTCTGCATGTTTTCCATTTGTGTTTATTTTATGCTTAAAATTACTTTCTTGTTATTTGGTTAAAATTTATTTAATTAACCCAGAAACTGTACGAAAATTTAAGAGTATTTATTTCATTAAAAGTTTAAAAAAAGATAAAGGAAATAATATGGAAGTCAAGTTTCAGAATAATAATAATGATGATAATGAACTCAGACATCATACTCAAATATTTGATTTCGTTGGACAGTGATCAGTACAATAAACAGTCACGCCTACACAATGTAAAAAGAAAACTATGAAGGAATTCATACCTTCAACTGTAATTGTTTAAGTACAAGGTCAAAATATTTTCTTTTTGTTGGTTAGACTTATGTGTTTATGAAATATGACAATATAGTTCAGAAATAATTTGTCTTTGAACTATGTTATAAATGGTTAATCCATTACATAGTAACCAATCTTTATTGATCTTAGAAATTTTCTTCTAAACTATAAATTATTCTATTTTCACTCAGTAATTTTAATTCAGTATGAACACAAACTTCTATGAAGTAGAAATGTCTAATGATTTAGATGATTTCACTATAACTGTGAGTATTCTGTACCAATAATTTGTTTCATTTTTACAATCTGTAACATTGCTAACTTGAATAAACATAGAGATTTCATGAGTTAGACATTTTTTAATTTCGTAATTAATTTTAAAATATTTTTTTTTCAATAATTAAGATCATGAGTCAGTTGAAGCTAGACCACCATGGAAAACCTAAAAGCACTGGACGGCCGTTTCGTCCTATGGTGGGACTACTCAACAGTGCGCATCCACGATCCCGCACCCCGAGAGATTCGAACCCAGGACGAAACGGTCGTCCAGTGCTTCCAGGTTTTCCATGGTGGTCTAGCTTCAACTGACTCATGATATTAACCATTGAAATTACTACAATTTCCACAAAAACCCATCTGACAATTTTTTGTTTAGAAAGAAAACTGTCTATTAAATAATCAATGTACATTGTTACAATTTTCTGAAAACTGTTTATTTTAGTCATATAAAAATCACAGCATGGCAAATTCACCAAAAGTGAGTAATAGACAGCATATACAGTTAGTTTATGCTAAACCATCGAAATTGAGAAGAGATGTTATGGCACATAATGACCGTGAAGAAATATCACCAGGTAAGTGAAATTTTTAAAACTATTATATCATACTATTCATCAAGTTATTAACCGATGACTATTGTCTTCTAAATTTCATATGAGCCAGTCAGTCAGCTGCAACGTAGGACGAGGCACATATATGAAATTTGTTAAAACTTTATTTAGATTCTACTTTAATTTTTTTGGTGTGAAAATGATTCTGTATTAATTCTAAAGTACATTAGATACATTTTATCTCCTTAAGCACATAGCTAAAACTAAAATGAGTTAAATAACGATCCTAAATGGTGATAAATGTGCCTTATCCAATCATATATTAGATGTACAGTTTAATCAGAGATGAGTGGTGACTAATAGTGGAGTCCATAATGCTCGTTTTGTACTATTTGGGACTCATTATCTGAGTGTACCTGCATCCAAAAGTTAAATCATGAAGTGGACACTAATATTTATGACAAGTCGTACACATATACCAAAATAGATTGGTCAATTTCAATCTTAAACATCAATGGGAAGATCCAATCAACCAATATACATGAATCAATATTAGATATACGGCATTGGAAGACTTAAAAATTCTTATTTTCATCTTGATTGCGATAGTGAGTATTAGGTATTAAGAAATTATTTTAAAAAAACTAGAGTAATACAACTATTTATTAGTTTTCTGTTAATTAGATTGTTCACAGTGTATATCTGACTTCTTTAATATACACCATTTATATTGTCTAAGAATTTAAAAATGTATTAAAAAACTCATATCATCCTTATATTCAATTGTTTTATTTAATGAAACACAAGGTCATCTTTGTAATTTTTTCAAAAAAATTAGATGATCAAGTTTTCAAATATCAATATCATTTAGTTTATGATAAAAGATGTTTAAAGAGACTCACATTTGAATAGTTATGTGAACTCAGTAGTTCAATTGATAAGGTAGCAGATTGTGGTGGTCAGTATTTCATATAATCCTTAAACTTCGTATACAGTTTGTCTTGATAACTGTCACTAGATAACGCCCCAACGGTATATTAATCAGAAGGCGAATATGAAGTGTTGATTATGTTTATTATGAGACCACACACATATATCCAAAATTACAGGTGCGTCAAACAAGCATGAAAGAGTTGTGCCGAAAGGCAAGCAGGCAAGCGATCTAGCGAGTGAGTCAGCTAATATGAGTACGAGTAAGCGAGAGAGAGAGCAACGAACATGAATAACATGGACATATATATACATAGTGAAATGAATGAATCATCGAATCAATTAAGCACTTAGTAGTAAGGCTAGCAGCGTGAATAAATGCGTAGGCAGTAAGCAATGCTCAAGCATATATATGTTCATACATTCGCAACAATAATAAAGAAACAATGATATAGATAAATTGTTGTTGTACGGATGACTCAGTTCGTTAATAAGTTAACAAAATGACTTGACCGAACTAAATGTGAAGCAACTCAATGCGCGTGAGTTGCTATAAGATGTTTGAAGTGAAGGTTACTTGATCTAAATCTTAGTAATAACTTCAAATTTGGGTTGAAAGTATACCAGGCTAATGAGTTGAAAGTTTGTATTTTCTTTTTTTTTTTAAATCAAAAACTATGTAATAAATGTTAAATAGTTTTATTCTGAACTTTTAAGTTACATGATTTGAATTGTTCATCAAAAATATTTTAGTGGCCTGGAATCTGACTCCAATTAGGTCAATATAGAATGTTCATTATTGAATGATTACTGTCGAAATATATATGTTGCATATCCTCGTATATTTCATCGACTTAAATCGCATTAGTGAATAACGAAATTAAATAAGTCAAATACGAGAATGAATTTCAAATATGTATATTTCATACAATCGTTGATCCAGATAAAATATCGGAGAAGCGAATAGAAAGGAGTTAAGCGAAATGACGCGCAGTGGAGAAGGCAGGTAAGCCAACTCCTACAGATTGTCCCATTATGATTCAAATAATTATCATAGTCTCATTAACACATTAATGTTATATTATCACCTAACGTGGAATTATTATTTTTGTTGGTGCTGACATTATATTATGACCTAATTGGAGTCAGATCCCGAGGGCCCATTAAAATATCTTCCAATAGTCCAACTATACATAATTTTGTAATAATTTAAGATCGTTTAAAGTTTATACGTTACTGAATGTGTCGAAATTAGATAGGTTCTAATAGATTTATCATTTTTACAACTAATAATAAACTATTTATACATTTTTTCATCATATGTTGTTCTTTTATCGATAGTAAAAATGAGCATTGCACCTGTAACTTTATCAGCGCCTACAGAACCATATATGTTTGATGACTATTTTATAATTAGAAGACCTGATCTAAGTGATATACCTGAACAAAAGCTTGCAACTTTATCTAATCAATTTGGTGAACTTAATGATTCTGTGGAACGTGTTATTATTCGTATATTCGATTCAGCTGTAGTCCCAGGTGGTGCACTACGTGGTGTTGTTTATATATGTCTTAAAGAACCAATTAAATTGAATACTTTATTTATTACCACAGAAATGGTTACAAAAACAATATCTTCAGATGAGAAACAAGATATGGAGGTAAAATCTGCTATTGTTATTACGACATTTACCATAATGTATTGACGAATGTTTTTAATTTATTTTACCACTGAAATTAGGCATAATAGACGGAATATCTTTCGTTCTGTAACCAGTTTAACATATTGACTTAACAACTGTCAAGTAATTGAGTGTATATAAATAAGGATAAATATAAGAGATGAGAATGAAATAGAAGTATTACCCAAATATCTCATATATCATCTAAACCCAACCTACTTAACAATTCTGAGTACACTAATCACGATAAAAATAATACGACTTAAAAACACAGAAATCACTTTGGACATACGTTTTAATATAAATTTAGGATTGTTTGTAAAATGAAATGTTTATGCAAAAATCGTTAGCTTGGAATGTTAAATAAACAAATTTATTTGCTCAGTAAAGTTATAAGATGAATAATCTGAATGAATATAGATTATACAGGGTGAGAGAAATGGTCATATGATTACAAATCCTAACATACTTGGTCAAAGACCATGTAGTGTATAAAGTGATTCGAACTATTACTTACTTACTTACTTCACTCACGCCTGTTGCCTCTCGTGGAGGAGCATAGACACCCCCCACCAGCGTTCTCCATCCAACTCTCTACTGGACAATCTTTCCCAGTTCTTTCCAGTTGCTATTCATCCTTGTAACGTTTGCTTCCAATTCCCGACATAGTATATCCTTTGATCTTCCACTCTTCAGTTTCCCTCCAAGATTCCACGTTAGCGCTTGCCTCATGATGTAGTTTGATGATTTCCTCAATGTATGTTCCGCCCACCTTCATCGTCTTTCCCTAATTTCATCTTCAGATGGAAGCTGGTTTATCCTCTCCCACAGTAGGCTTTTGCTAATGGTTTCCGGTCAACGGACATTGAGTATCTTGAGCAAAAATTTGTTCGTAATTACCTTTCTGTGTTACATTTCATGATCTTGCTTTTTCCCTCGTGTATGTTGAGGCCTACCGACGCAGAAGTTGCTGCTGCTACACTGGCTGTCTTGACCTTCATTTGTTGGTGTGTATGTGGTAGAATAGCTAGATGATTTGCTAAGTTCGGATCATCTGGCTGCATGTAAGCTGTAATAGGTTTTCCATGTTCCCCTTGTTATGTCGTGATCTTCATAATCCAGTCAACCACCAGAAGAAAGATAAAGGAGGAGAGTATGTAGCCTTGCATGACTCCGGTCCTCATTTGGAATGCAACTACCAGCTGTCCACTAAGCACGACCTTCCACTGTTGTCCATCTTATGGATTCCATACGATGCTGACGAACTTCTCAGGTACACCATATTGTTGAAGAAGGATTCATAGGTTCATTCTATCCATGCCTTCTCACAATCAAGGAGGTTGATGTATAGTGATAAGTCCCATCAACTGACTGTTCAACGATGATCCGTAGTATCGCGAATCGGTCTCAAAGTTGGGTGTCTAGTAAATCTTCCATCTGGTTCAACAACGCTCCATTGAAAATGTTTCCTGGTACCGATAGGAGTGTGATGTCCCTGTAGTACTCAGACTTACTGAGATCTCCTTTCAATGGTATCTTGAGGAGATATCAGCCTGTCGGCACTCATTCCTCCTCCCAAATCTTCCTGAATAGGATGTGAGGCATCTTTGCTTTTACCTGTTTGTCTGACTTCAGTGCTTCAGCTGGCATGTTGTCTGGTCCTGCTGTTTTCCTGTTCTTGATTTGCGTGATAACCATCCTGATTTCTTCGACCTTTTGTGAGGTGACATCGATAGGAAGGTCTGTGTGTACTGCTTCGATGTCCGTTGTGTTTAGTGGGTCCAGTAAACCCAAGAAATATTCAGTCTCCTATCCACCTGTTCTCCTGTTCTAAAACCTCAGTGATCGGTTTACCTTCTTTGTTCTTGACAAGAAGCTCTGGCTTACCATATTTCCCTGATAGCCTCTTCGTTACATCGTATGGTTGTCCAATATTTCCTTCTGCTTCAGCTATTTCCGCTGTCGTCGCTAGGTCTTCCATGTATTTCTGCTTGTGAACTCTAATGCTCTGCTTCACTTTCCTGTTTGCTTCTGTGTATTCAGCTTTTGCCTTGAGTTTCTTTGCTTTTGTCCGGCTATTATTAATTGCTATCTTCTTGTTCTTCCCTTCTTGAATCCAAAACAGGGTTTCCATGGAGACTCGTCCTTTATGCTGATGCCTTTTGCGACCTAGAACCTCCTGTCTTGTCGAAGTTGGTGCTTCTCTGATCCCCTTCTGGTTATTCTTCATAGTAGTTTTTCCTTCTTTCAGTAGGTCCTGTAAGGCTTGGAACCTTTTGTCGAGAGCTATTTTGAATTGGTTGAAAGTGCTAGTATCTCGTAGGAAAGCTGTATTGAACATTTGTAGTGCTGTTTCCCCAGCTGTCCAGTGTTTCCTTTTCTTCAGTTTGATCTTGGCCACAACCAGGTGGTGACCTGAAGCTACATCAGTTCGTCTTCTAGTTCTCACGTCTTCGATTGTCTTCTGAATTTTTATTGATAAAAATATGATCTATCTGGCCCTCCGTAAGAACATTGTGCCACATATAACCATTTTATTGAATCCACACAAATTTCCAAATATCTTACCACTCGCGTTCCTTTCCCTCAGTCCGTGTCGTCCCATGATATCTTCATACCTGATGTTGTCGATTCCGACTTTGGAGTTTAGGTTTCCTATCAGGATGGTCAAGTTCTTTCCCGGACACTTCTCTATAATCAATTGCAGCCTCTCGCAAAACTGATCTTTATATATGAAGTGTCATAAGATCAGCTATAAACCTTTTTCATGAAATATATTGTGATCTTCAACATACAATGAATTTCCAGAAATAAATATCGCTGGATGCATATATGAAAAACCAAATTTCTTACTTCATTGATAATCGTAATTTTGTTTAACATTAAGATATATAAGCATATTAAGTAAACTATTCACATTATGTGATAAAATTAAAGCCAGACATGGTATGAAATTCATCAAGTCGACTCCATTCAAATTGAACTGAATGTACTATAAGGTGTTTTTTTTAATTATAGACATTCTATAACGACGTGTCTTATGTAGGTTAGAATAATGAACAAACTATCGCTGAAAATTCGTCTACTAGTGATTAATATTACTAAAGTAATCTTCTCAATTGAATTATGAGAGTACGAAATCAGATGTCACTGAGTTTTTAGGTTAACTCTCTAATCAGGCATAAATTTTCACTCATGGTAGCAGCTAATTTCCATTAATAAGAGTAAAATGCATTTCAGTATCAAACTGAACACCTTCAAATGTATGTATAAGTTATATGAGCATATAGTACATGGAATAATGCAGGCATCTGCAGCTTGTGTTTAAAGTAGTCGAACAATTTACCGTCATTCAGATATATTTTACTGAAAAGTACTCATTAAATGCGTTGATTAAACGTTTGTGCTCACTTAACTCTACTTTCTTACATTTATTATTCTAGAAACGAATACCTATATCATATACTGTTTTGTCAGATGACCCATCAGTTGGTAAAAGAATGCCAATACGTAAATTTACTTGTCAAGAACCAGAATTTATGCAGTCACCAGTAAAAGAAGTTGATCTTAGTGATCCATGTTTTTCACCATATATTGGACCTGTCCAACTTGCTCCAGGTGATCATGCAATTCCTTTTGCGTTTCCTCTTGAAAGTGATGCACATCCGTCAATATTACTGAAGGGTAAAGTTGGTTTTACGCATGAAGTAGAAATTATACATAGGTAAGATTAATTTTTTTCCCAATCAAACTATGAAGCTGTTTTATAAGCTGTTATGATTCTATTTCAATTGGGTATGTTTAATTTATTAAATATTGAGTCGTTACTAGTAAAAATGAACTGCTATATCAAACAGCTGTTATGTAATTCAGCTATATTTTAAATAAAAACTCCATTTTCAAAATAACGGAAATTGAATTTTTCACATAAAACGACTCCTCTTAGTTTCGCAGATGACGTTTTATTTAATTTAATAAATATTTTGAACAAATTCAGTAATTTTCCTTTGTATATGCTTGAGTGAGATCTCCAATAGGCTAGCCATAAACTGTTTATTAGAAAATTTTCTGTATGTATAGAATATAATGAACGATCAACTGATGATGCTATATTCACTAAGCAACATCATCCAATTGCTAAGCTCTACTGCCATTGTGATGGACGCTACTCACATGATTGTTTGTAGGTAGTATGCAGCAGAAAGCACAGTCAAAGTTGCAACAATTGTCAAACGGAGTAAAGAGTTTTAATAAATTGAAAGCACGGTCTTGATGGATCACTTAGAAACCAGACGAGGAGGTAATCCAGATGGTAGAACATACCGAAAGATGAAAATGAACGACTGAAGGCTGTGAATATTTATTATGTAAATGATTAGACGTTATTATCATGACCTACATCATCAACCATGTATATGTGCAAGTTTGATAAGGTAGGAAGAGCTTTTATTATTCATAAAGCTGTGAAAAAATGTAGTCAGACAAGAGTCAGTTAATGGCACTTACGAATGGTTGCCATTAAGGTCTGTTACATTTTGCTGTGTTCTAATTGTACGTGGTTATGGGAAGGTTTTAGTTTTGTATTTTCAAATAAACAGTTGTAAACGAGGTTTTATTGTGACATGAAATCGATTGTATGGACTTTAGTCATAATATTTCAAGTTAGCTAAATGTGATTGTGAAGACCATTTGTTTAACGAGTTTGACTGGTTGACTCAATTCTTGAGTTACTGGGTTATTAATTTGAAATCTTTTAGCCAAAATCTCCGAAATGCTTTTCAAGACCAATATTCAATGAAAAACTGATTCATTAAATTCTATGATTAATTTATTCTTATTGAGAGTCAAACTTGGGGACTTCATATTAAACTGCAAACACGTTAAACAGTGAACGAAAGGACTGGTAATCAGTTTAAAGAAAAATGTTTTGAACAAATAAATTACCATATCACTTGTATACACTAGTTAGTTGACCAAATGAGATGAATCCAGTTAATTTAGAGATAAAATGTCTTCAGTTCACTCCAGCATATGTTCTAGGCTTATGGAACTTCAGTTGGATCCACACCCGGCTTAGCTCTAACATACAATAATCTTTATATGCATATACGAAATCACTTATTATGTTTATTTATGTAATCCATTCTAATGTTAACACTGACTCATAAACTACTTGAATTGGTTTAGTAATTTCGTATATACATATAAATATTAGTGCATATCTGAGTAAAGCATGATGAGAATGTAATTGATAAATCGTCTGTCTGAACGCTTGAATAGGTTTCCTAAGCTCTACTAATAACCCCAGGCTAAATCTATACGACAGCTTGAACACGATATAAAAGACACGAAATATGGAAGGAATGCTTTACTCCAAGGTTAGTTTATGTACAGAGAATTCAGGGTATTTATAGTATTTCAGACAGCTTTGAGCTTCTGGAAAGTTCTAGAACCTTTCTAAACATAGTAGCAAGATAAGTAATCATCCAATCACAAATGTGCCACCTGACTCGCCTTTTTCTAAATGTTTCTGAGAAACGTCTACTCAATGCTAATTAGATAAAATGTTTTCAAGAGTTTTCAGGGTCCCTTCGAGCTTTTTTGAGGGATATTCCGGGTCTCCTCGACACTAATTAAAAACAATATCGTTCGCTTATATATGTTCTAATTCACAATATGATAGTTTTTGAGATTTTATAGAATTTCTCCTTTTCTGTTTACCGTTATCCTTTCATTATTTTTTTTACATTAGATATTATATCTATGGAACCATCAGATTGAGTCGACCAAATGAAAATAATTCAGTAACAATCAGTACAGATAATTTAAATGTCAAAGTTCTTAGTTGTGGTCCACCAAATTATACACTTCCTAATGGTGGACGAATACCAGCTATCATGAAAACATTTACAATGGAAAATAGACAAATGTTAATACAGGTATAATTTTTAAGCACAGTTCCTTCCATTATTATGATTATTATTCAAGAAATTCACTATCAAACAAAACTTTTTCCACTTACTTATGATCTAATAGTCCAGATCATGGGTCAATAAGAGCTAAACCACCATAGAAAACCTAGAAGCACTGGAAAGCCGTTTTGTCCTATTGTAGGACTTCTCGGCAGTGCGCATCCACGATCTCGCCCGGCAGGATTCGAACCCAGGACTTATCAGTCCTTCTGTCATCTACAGTCATTGAAATAATGTGATTATCTATGAAATTTTTACAAAATTCTCAACCAAATCATCATTTCTAAAAAAATCATGGTTTATTAAATGTTACTTTAATTATAAATTTAAATTTATTTAGTATTATTTCATTAATGGCTTTATTCAGTATTATATTTTTGGTACAATATAGAATTATCAGCATAGAGTATTTCGAAAAGTTTCCTTTTCTTATTTCTTAATCGATCTTGATGATAAATATTAAGTGATCGCCAGTTAGATATTAGCAGTTCAAGAATCGATATCTGAATAATGTTTATTCTTTTCAATGCATATTGTCAGAAACCACAATGTCATTGATTGTACTTTTTTATAACTTGTACAGTGAAATGTCGTAAAATTTTCATAAACACACCTGAATAGGTTATGCGATTAAGAGGCAATAGTGATATGATAAACAAAAACAGATAACTTATTGAAATATCCAGATGACAGGAACAAGTAGCCTAAATATTCGAGTAGGCTATCAGTCTATCCAAAATCATATTGATAAATCAAGTCAGTTATATACCGTAAAAGATATTGAGTGGATTAAGTCTATCAAAATTCTTGAATATCAGTCTCATTGTCCTATCTAACAATTATTATTTCATAATGAATTCAATGAATAGAATTTGACAGAAATGATATAACATTTCTTTTGTTAGTTATTTGAATTAGCTTTTGTTAATATGATACAATATACATAATGAAAACATTATAAACAAACTATTCAGGACAAACAGAATGTGATAACATTGAAAATATTTTGGTGAAGTTTTGTTCTCTGAGCTGGATGGTTTGGTCGTGGAGCTTTCATCGTTCTTCTGAACGACATCATCAGCACAAACTTCAGATAGAAGTGAAGTATTCGAATTTCTCCATATGTGTTTCACAGCTTGTTCTGTGCACATATGGAGAAATTCGAACACTTCACTTCTATCTGAAGTTTGTGCTGATGATGTCGTTCAGAAGAACGATGAAAGCTCCACGACCAAACCATCCAGCTCAGAGAACAAAACTCCACCAAAATCATCCACCTGAGCTACAAATCTTCTCCACCATCTCAACATTGAGAAGAATTTATTTGAATTACAAGTTACTTGTTTCCCCACTAATTTAGTTATATTTCATACAACATATATGATACAACATCATGATACATCTTTAATCACCCTACTATATATAGGTACGTCAATATCTGTAATAATGTTAATTTTCAAATATTTTTCTCTCGGTTGTAAGAAACTGATGAGAATCTAACGAAATAAAATGAATTCATATTATACTGTACCAATCTTCCTTATTGCTCTCTTTAATTTAGTTATAATCTTAATTATAACTTACGGAATAGCATGGATACCATCTCTATTGTAAATTATTTAACCAACTTCACATAATTCACAGATTATTAAATTATTTTTGATATTTTTCTATAAAACACTTCAGTTAAGTATAATTTATGCACATGAATATCTTACAATGGTTTGAATACTCTTAGTTATTTTATTTTTACTAAAATGAATCAGTTTTATATATTACTTTAAGGGAACTAATATCTAGTTTGTATTCCTTTTGATAATGTGATCACTTTTCTAATATTTCCTAATATCATTCTATAAATTTAGTATATTATGGAGTAAATTCTCTAAGTTGCTATGACAACAAATTTCAAATAAGTACATAAGAGTATGCTTTAATTCACAAGCTTAATATATAAACTTCCAAAAAATTGAGATATAGGGAATAAGATGGTACAAAAGCATTCACTTTTTAAAAAAAAATTGATTGATCATTTAAGAAAATATCAAAATTTGAATGACACAATGTAGTTGTTATCAATATATGAAATTTGATCTTTCTAAAATTATCAGTATGGAGATTTATGAAGCATTTAGTATTTTAACAGTTGAATACACGAATTGATCTATATTGGATCATCATTGAAAATCTAAAAGCACTGAACAGAGCACCGCAGGAGGAGTCTTATACTTGTAATGTTCGTCTAGTGCGTCCAAGTTTTCACTGATGGTCTAGCTTATATCAGCTCGTAAATTCATCTGTCTTTTAAAATTATGATCAAATACTTTAGCAGTCTATTCAGCTTCCATAAGATTATTTTAAAAAAACTATTAAATTAAGTTCATTGAACATTTGACTTTTTTTCTGGTTGGATTCATTTTAACAAAATACGATTTTAAATTTTTATTATCGTTTACAGATTGAAAATATAATCTTTCAAGAGGCTGATGATATTAATATTTATATATTTACGGATGAACCAGTTGGTATACGTTATGCTGAAGCTTATTTACTTCGTATATTTCATATACCTGGATTAAAAGTTTCTGATACAAAAGCATTATATAAATTGAAAAAGTATCCTCCTAATGTTTTTATTGATGGCCGTACAGAAAAAACTACTTTTACTGAAAATCTACCTTTACCATTCTCTGAAGCAGCTGAAATTGAAAGTGGACGATTATTTTCTAATTCACAACATTTACCAAGTCATTATCGTGATTTTCGTGTATCATGTGAATCTTTAAACTCAACAGAACAATCACAAAGAACATTACATTGTGATTCATATAAAGATTTACCTAGAGATGCCCGTAAAGCCGGTTGTCATTTAACATTAAACGTTCCAATCAATTCAGTTCCACAAAGCTGCTTAGAATCACTGAAGATAACTTATTATATTAGGGTAGGTTAATTGAAAGTAATCAAGTCATTTGACTATAATGTCATACTTTTACTTAGTTTATCACCCTTTGTCAGTTATTTCTAAATGTAAGTCATAGATTTCTACTCAACTTACGCTGTTGTGACCGGGATAAGAATTCAAAATTAGATTGATTTACTCAATATGATTTTTATTCAACATTAATTCCGTTTTAATTCAATATGATGATTACTGAGTATAGTACTTGTTTCGTTTTCCCCTATGACATTTTATTCTGTATAACATACGACATTCTTATATGAATTATGGGTGTAAAAACCAATATATAAATGAGTGTATTTCTGACTAGACGGGTCGGGATTACACGTGCTTCTGGCTGCTTGCGGAATATATTTCTCCGTTTCGAACATGAACTTCTCTCTTTAGTTAGCGAGGCTGGAACGCAACAGAATAGCTAGCTTATTGGTTTTTATCACAGTCTTTGTTGCTTTTGCAGACTAGGTGAATTCGTAATCGCTTCAAACACAGCATACTCATACACAGAAAGATAAATTGTTTAATTTCATTTTTCCCAGGAAGAATTAAAATAATTATTAGGTTTTACCATGTTATTTTAAAAAAATAATCTTAACTGAATAGATATGTTTAAGTAACTTGGTAAACGAAATAATAAGTAAAACAATTAGAAATGTGTATCATTTTAATTTAATATCACTTTTATATAGAATTGTTAGAACATAGTTGGTAATGAAATTCAGGATGTGCATTTCGTCCCATTTGGGAATCGCCAGCAGAAGTGATGTTCACTCCGAGATTCGAAGCCAGCACCATTTGTTTAGAAAGCCTATGCCTTATCCAATAAGATGCGAATCCCAGATAACCAATTGCTTGTGTAACATTACTTTGTTAGGTTAAGTAGTTTAGAGGCGATAGAAATCTGAAAAAATAGTTAAAACACTCGTTAAACTATTTTGAGAATGATGGATTGTTTTACTACTAGATTATTTTCACAGTCGAAGTCACGAGTTGAGCCAAACTAGACCATCATTGCGAATCTGGAAGCACTGGACGGCCATTTCGCTCTAGTATGGGACTTCCCTGCAGTGCACATCCACAATTCCATACGCAGGACTAAAACCCGGAACCTTCGGTCTCGCACGAGAACGGTTAACCTCTAGACCACTGAGTTGGCATCCAACAGTGTTTGTATCTGACTTCAATCAGCCCATGATTTTGCAAAACCCTTCATCCGTTGTCTGAGATCGATAACAGTCTGGCAAGTGACACGGTTTGGACTCCACTGATCACGGCTTCTCACTTAAACTTCAGGTGATCCAGAAGTTAGGCGTTCGTGTGCGAGAGCGAAGGTTCCAAGTTTGAGTTGAGCATGTGGAATCTTGGATGTGTACTGCAGGGGAGTTCCATACTATGATGAAATGGCCGTCCATTGCCTGCAGGTTTCCAATTGTGGTCGACTTTAATTCGACTCGTAATTTCAATTGCGAAAATTCTACAACTTCCACAAATCGTCATGCTGATATTAGATTACTGACAAAAGACACTCATATTACTTACATTTGATAAGATTAGCTGGCGAGAAAATTGATATTATGTGCTACTATCGTTGCTATTTGGTTTGATTTAAGCTACCACTAAATGAATCAGACAGTAAATACTCATTTTCTTAGAATTAGACAATCTATACTAATTATCCTAACTGATTCCTTTCTGTCTTTATACTGTTTCTAATTTTATGCTAATTTCTGATTATTTTTATCAGCTGAACAGTGGTAAACATTTGATCTAGTTTGTTCAACATTATAATAATTGCTTTGGTATTATTTTGTAAATGGCATCAACTGATTATCATTAGCTAAATCTACCCTAATTAAACCATGAATTTAGTTTATGTCAGGTTTTTAATATGTATTGGAACTTAAAAATATGATTAAAATCATCTGTGGTATTGTTATAGCTTGAGATTCTAATCGATATCATGTGCTATATTACACAATGAGGGTTCCGATTATCTAATAATCCACCTATACAGCGACTGGTACTGGCAACTTCCCATTTCACGAATTTACACATTGATTAATTAAACACAAACAAGGCCTTAAAGCTTATTGCTTCTTGAACTTCTTTTAACACGATAGCCAGCTGGAAGATGAAGTTGGAAAACAGATTAGTTCTCACTTGTACTCAAAACGCCTACAATAATATACATGAATTGACTGACCAAACAGTACACCAAGTATGAAATCATACTTTAAACATAACATTGCAATAAATGGTAGAGGATGAAGCAAACAATACATAATTAGTTGGCAATAAATAAAGGATAGTAAGACATATAGCAGTGTTTACTAGGTGTACTGTAAGCTGATAATAAGATAAATATGGAAATACGGTAATACAGTTATCTACGAACTATACCACAGAAATATGAATGGTTATAATCCGAAAGTTTTAACTTGCCCACTAGTCTTCTCGTTATAATAAGTACCTATTTTAGGGTTAAAACTTCCCATGTAAAAATGCAAAATAAAATGTTCAGCTGATAAGTACTTAAAGAGTGTTGATTCGCTCATTCCTCTGTATTAACATTTGCTATTAATAAATGCATTTGAAGTGACATAATGTAATATTTTTACTAAACTTGCTACATATATACTAAAATGAATGTCATTAAAAAGCCCGTTATCATTTTTTATTAATTAACAGTTAATCAGAATTTTCAGTGAGACTATAATTTATGGACAAACCAATCAGATTTAGGATGACATTTCTTGGATTTTGGCTCGAAATTCATTCATTCACTTGGCTAAATATAGTTTTTAGCATTTTAGCTTATGTCAGTCCATGATAAAAATATTAAATTTGATTCTTAACCTTAACTATCAACTGTAAATCATAATTCTTATTCTTCACACAGATTTATAACTTTCATTTAACCTTAATAGTTAAGTGGGTGTATACTCAAGATCACATTAACATTGTTCAAAGATCATGCATAAATTATAGTCTCACTGAATTTTCTTATTTTATCCATGAAAATAATCATTTTCTATAATATCTTATATATCTAATAATTTTATTTTTCAGGTACTTATACATGGTAAACGTAAAGTAATGGCTTATAGTTTACCAATATCAGTAGTTGAACAACGTACTAAAGATTATAAAATGCGTTATTTGGGTGAAGGCAATCATATATACGATCCAGAATATTTAAAATTAAAACGTGACAGTAAATGTTCCGTTTCATAAAATTTGGATACAAATAAATCAACTGATATAATACAATGAAATTTAAAATTAGTAAATTTATCAATCATTAGTTATAACTTATCTAGGAGAAAAACGAAGTGAAAGAGAAAAAAAAACTCATTAATGTTAGATTCTTTTTGTTTGTTTGTTTGTTTTTGTTATTGTCTTGAATTCGTGTTGTTGTTGTTGCTGTTGTTGTTGTCGTCGTCGTCGTTTTGTTTGTTTGTTTTTCATCTACGTTGTTACATTGTCCATTATGTTTTGTTATGATACATAGTTGTGGATTCTTTTTAAATTCACTTATTTATTTTATTTGGTTAGTTTTGATCTCTTTTCATCTGCTTAATTAACTAAGTTGATTTGCTATTAATAATTACCATCATTGTATTCTATATCTTTGATTTTATCGATTTTCTGATAAAAAAATATTACAAAAGAGTGATACATGTTCCATCCATTAAAGTTACTCATCAGTCAATTTATTTAATCAATAATTGATTAATAAATAAATAAACAAATAAATACTGTGGTAAACATTTACATGAATTAAATTCCTCCGAATAGAAAATGTCTTGTTTCTTCTAGTTAATCGATATGTGTTTATATACAAACAAACAAACAAACAAACAAAACGCCTACATGTTGACGGATAAATAGTAATAAAAGATAAATATCAGATGGGTTTTGTGGAGATTGTAGTAATTTCAATGGTTAAGATCATGAGTCAGTTGATATGCTCAATAGTGACTGGCTTCACGAGGTATATCCTGGAGTTCTAGTGAGAAGTAGTGACCAGTGGAGTTCAACCAGGTCTGTTGTGAGATAGTAACTCACTGAAGATAGTGGTGAATATGTCACTCAATTTCGTGGATTAGTTGAAGTTAGAGATTGACACCGTTGGATGCCGGCTCATCAGTGGTCTAGTGGTTAAGTGCTCGCGCGCGAAACCAGTAGGTCCTGAGTTGGAATCTCGCAGGGGGCGAGGTCGTGGATGCGCCTGTCGAGGGTTCCACGATGGGACGAAATGGCCGTCCAGTGCTTCCAGGTTTTCAATGGTGGTCTAGCTTCAATTGACTCATGATCTTGACCATTGAAAGTAATAAAAGGTGTTTTTTTCTATCTTGATTCTTTTTTTTCATTTAAAAGAATTGGATACAAAAAATTGTTTTCGATATTTGAATTTATATAGGTTCATTCGAAAATAATATTGTTTGTGGATTAGAAGATTATCGAATAGAAGATTCTAGATTCGTACCTTGACTACTTGTTTGTAATTATTTCTGTGTAGTTTCACATTAGGATAGGAAATTAGTTCACTGGTTTCATGGTTTCCAATGAATCATTCCCTGAAGTTATTTCATGATGAAAACCATTCATAAAATTAAGTAATCTCAATAAACTTTCTCATTATGTTTATAATTTGGAATTTAATAAGTTAAGTTCAATCTTATATCTCAATACTGGAGAAAAGGATACTGTAATAACGTTTAAAGAAATTACTCTTATTATTTGCATATAAGTTTAAAAAGCTCATCACTTAAAACGTGTAGAGATTACGTTGACTATACGTAGATATTTCACAGATTGAAATCATGAGTCAGTTGAAGCTAGATAGTTCAACTGAATTGTAGTTTCTAAACAATTGTATTGGTTCCAAAAATATATATATGAAAATCATACATGTAATATAATAAATAACAGACACTATGTGAATACTGTTGGATTAACGAAGAATATCATCTCATCAAACTTTACAGTTATAAATTTAATTTATTAATCTAAAAGAATGGTCAAGTTAAAGCTCAAATAGTTCCTTTAAATTCATTCATAGTTTATAAGTTAAACATAGTTTCTAAAATAAAATATTAGTAAAACTAAGTCTGTCAAAATCAATCAGGCTAAAAGTTCGTTAAATAAAAAGAAGTAATAACTATTCTGAAATGGTGAATAGAATTTGTAACTCAGGAAGATGATTTGCTTAGATCCGCGTTCTCGAAACTAAGTGGTTTAACCATGAGATTTCGATTGTTTTTCTAGATAAAATCCTCAGCACAAACTTCATAGAGGAGTCAGCTAATCAAATCTCTTCATTTATGACTAACAGTTTAATTCTAATAACTGGTCGTTGTTGGAAATTATCCTTTAGCTGCATACTTAATTTGACTGCCTCCCCTTTTGATCTGACTTTCATCCCTATAGTTGTTCTTGATTTTACTAACTGGTTGATAAATTAGATCAATTTAGATATTTATTGATTGCTGATTCACTTAGGTCCTAAATGTATAGAAACCCCTCGACGTTCTTTATGTTACCTCTGTCTACGATCCAAAAATCTTACCAGTTGAGCATTTGTCCACGACTAACTACGTGCATTGATTTAAGTGGAGATACATCGTTGCATATGACAAATAATTGTTATTCAAGCAAATGAAGATCAAGAGGAATATGCTGTTTCTCGCACATGATGGAGTTTATTGTCTAAGTGACGTTTGGCTTTCACTTTTCTGTCATTCCATGTTTTACTTTGCATAAGAGAGGCTGAAGTAATTTTGCTGTCTTATTACAATCAACTCCAACAATCCGGTTGCAATCTGCAGTTTGTCTTTCACATATGTTAGGATAATCCTTTCTCTGATTTCTACATTTTATTTCATGACTGTTGCTGAACTTCGTGAGCAGCCGTTCTTTTGATAAACAGTTGTTAGATACTTTTCTGAGTTGTTCCCAATGTGGTTAAAGGTTCGATCAGCGTAATATGGTTCACGATGCTTTTGAATTTACAGTTGCTCAGGTTTTTAAATCGAATTCAAGTTTAACAAATTAATCTTTTATTCGTATATAGAGAAATTCGAATAGCACATTTCTATCTGCATTTTGTACCGATAATATTTTTAGCAAGATAATAGAATCTTTACGGTAGAACTATTTAGCTCATAAAATGCAATACTACTGAAAGCAATTGATACTAACGTTGGAAAAACTCCAGCTTTATACACAGAAGTAGTAAGTTCAGACGCTTCTCTTACCACGACCAGCATAACGCCTAATAAGAGATTTGTAAGATAGATGGTGAATAGCAGTGGAATCCAGGACGCACTTTTTGTCCTACTCGAAACTGGATGTACCTGAATCCCAGAGTTAATATTCACTCCAAGACTCCGACCCGGTAACATTTGCTTTAAATACCATCACGTTATCCATTTAGCTATTGAGTCCAGATGATCACCCATTGCGCAAGCTAGTAAGTTCCAAATAGGACGAAACGTGTGTCCTGGATTCCACTGTTAGCCATCATCCATCTTTGCTTATAATGCTTGTGACATAAGTCAATATAGAGGTAATATGCACAGCGTACACATATGCCAATGAGAGACTGATCAATTGCAGTCTTAAGTATCAATGGGAAGATTCAAACAACTAATACAAAATGAATTGTAGGATGACTTATTTTAACTAATGTACATGTATTATTCACCTTTGTCTTGATGTACCTCAGATCTTGTTACTATTATTATAGTTATTATTATTATTATTACTATTGGCGTTTCTTTGTATTGCTGTTATTATCATTCGTCATTTTCTTAACATACGGATAATTTGGTCAGTACCTAACAAATTTTATTAGTTTCTACCGATATCAAATCACTTCATACACTACGTGGTCTACGATCAAGTATGTAATCTGGTTTGTAATCATATGACTATTTCTCTCACTCTATATTATCTTTATTCTTCCAGATTATTCATCTTACAACTTCACTGAGTATATAAATTTGTTTTAATTAACATTCCAAGCTAATTATTACATCATTAACAATTACATTGAACTGAAAAATTTTTTTGTTTACTGGTTTCCATTCTTATTTATATCAAACTTCCATTTCATTCTGAAACAATTTTATATTCTCATATATATAACTTCAAAAGATGGGCTTACCTAAAACTTGGTATGTCGATCATTCATTTGGATCTATAACTGTAGAATTTGTAATGAATTTATCGAATATAACAGTCATCATCCATAGATGTGTTTTAATCCGGTAGGATTTTTGAATGATATTTATTGATAATGCTCACTACTTAGTAAAATTAAATTTCTTATCCTCATACAATGTGCTTCATAGTACTTTAGTAATAACAAAATGATTACAAATTTATAACTAAAAATTTGATGTGACAAATATTTTTGAGTATTGAAATTCAGCGTCTCGAAACTTTCTGAACGTTATAGTTTATTTACTGAATACACGGGGATATTGGAGCATAAGATTACTATCTATGTCTTTAATATACACCTCTATAACCCCTCTTTAAGAAGTGAACGATAATAGTTACCTGCGGCGAAAGCAGTATTACGATTTTAAAAAATTTAATAAGCTGAAAAATTCTGCTTAAAACTTGAGTATATTACACAGAATTTTCTTAAGAAAGCCAGTTCAGTTTACTCTTGTGTTTGCACACCAAAATATATCTATACTTTAGATAATCACAATCGGTTAAATTGTGTCCTATAACCGAGTCCTATGAAAAGATAGAAATGATATTCAAGTATTCGAAGAGCAATATGTTCTCTACACTAATGTTTCAGTCGCGAAATAAAATGTCTTTCCAAACTGTACTCATTCTGTGCCAAGACTAAAATTTGTTACAGTGGAGATGGAATTTTACAGCTTTTAATGTAACTTATACACGGTGGACGACAATATTGGTAGATAAATTGTACACTACTTTTTAATAGTAAATAGTACCACATAATCACATAAATTAATTCACTGTTTGTACTTTTCACGTAAATCATTATTTCATAAATCGTAAGTCAAAAACTTGTAAGTTTTCTGTGACAAGTAATTCATAACTGACTAGTTTCAACGATGCATGGTTCACTTTTTAGATATATCGTTACTATATGAGAAAATTATAACATTATCAGATGTAAACAGGTTTTTTGAAGAAACTGTTCAAATAAATGTACCTCATTTCGAAACAACTGTAATACTTATAATGAGGTATCTATAGCGACTCACGTGCAAATGGGTTTATTCTCATTTAACTCAGTTAAGCCCTTTTGCTAACTTATTTAGCGGACAAAGCCATCCGCACTATAACAATTTATTGTACCCTTATTATTATTCTGTGCTTGTATGAAATACGCATGCTTGAATATTGCTTACAGCCTACGCATTTATTCACTCTGCTAGTCTCACTACTAACCGCTTATTAGATTCGATTACTCATTAATTTCACATGCTATATATATGTCCATGTTATTCATATGGTTGACTCTGCTTTCTCGCTCGCTTGATTGTACTCGATTACTTACATTCGCTCAGTCGCTCGCTTGCCTGTTTGCCGTTCGACACAACTCTTAATGCTCGTTTAATGCATCTGTAAATTTTGGACATCTGTGTGTGTGGTCTCGAAATAAACGTAATCAACGCTTCGTATTCGCCTTCTGAATAATATACCGTTGGGGGTTAAATAGGACGGTTATCAAGACGAATTGTATACGAAGTTTAATGGATATATCGAATACTGACCACCACATATCTGTCATCAGATATAGGTTGTCTACGATTTCTTAATTATTAATTGAATATAACACAGGTTTAAAAGCCATTAATGATCAACGACATTGACAGTATGGAATTAGCTGTGTTTTTTTAATTTAATTAATAACATTTTAGTTATTAGTAAAGATACGATTCATTTATTTCATTCATTTATTTACCACGAAAGTAACTGATTAGTACAATAGTCTTTAAAATTGAATATTATTTGGTCACAATTGGTCAGTTTCAATATTCAGTTTGATTGTAGGAAATAAAATAGTAAGGTAAATTGATTGTTTCAGCTCTCTTCAGATTTTTCCACAAGCCATAATGGGTTGATGTTAGAAGAAATGTCGGTGTTGATAAGAAAATATCTTCCTCCCTCTTATCGCTTCAAACCGCCAGCAACGAGGCTTTGAGAGTAATCGTATGGTGAAGTGAAAGCATATTATGAGACATTTGGTCCGTACTCTTTTTACGAACAGTGTAAAGGAGAAAAACGGATGGCGGCTAGCAGTGGTATCCAGGTTGATGATGTTCAGTTATACATGTAGTCGAACTGACGGATGATTTTTAAGTTTAAGCACGAAAGCAAAGTTAATAAATCGGTTTGCAACCAAATGAACACTCATTGGATATAGAGATTACGATGTGCTTTAAATGATCAGTTACCGCTTATTTTAATGTCATATGTTAGCCAGTATAGGAGTAAATTGAATATGAACGAGGAATGATTAGAGTATTTAATCAATTATTTGAATTAATCCAGGAGATTCACACAATGTAGCTAAGGTTCATGAGATATATGGTTGGAATCGTTGCTCATCAAAGGTGTTAGTGAAGCAGATACTTCTATATTTTATTTTTATTAAAATATTAAGCCAATCGTTTATTCAAACTTTATATTCATTGACTTCACTAGTTTCATTTTAGATATGTATTTCTTATTTTTGTTTTTAGCTGTGTTAACGCGATCACTTATACTATTTACTTTTGTTTTATTTCGTTCAAACAGTACTGACATAAATTTTGCGAACTATACTTACTCCATTGTCGACTTAGTTCACAATTGACTGTTTGATGTAATCACCATATCAGATAATTTCGTATTGTAAATCGCTTGCAAAGATGTATTCATGTAGAGTGATGGTTGGAAGTAGCCGACAGGAAATCCCGTGTGATCTAGGTTGCGCGCTATTTGATACTCGTCAGCATAGTATACCTGTAATTCTGAGGGAACGGATGTTTCCTGGAGGATTTGGTCCCGTGTCACCCTACTTCACAGTTGGAGGCGTTATTGATGATCTATCTGAGC